GCGATGGATTCCCTTCCAGCAGGCGGGCCGGGCGGGACGGGAGGTGGGCGCCAGTGGTACTACTTTTATTGAAAACGACTCACGGAGTCACGGGGAAGAGGAGCCAGCCAGGGCGCCTCGCCTCGCCTCGCTCCAGGCGGTGCCCATTGTTTGTTTGCTCTTGCCGCCGCCTTCCTTGCCGAGTGTCTGAAGTCGCAGCACGAGAGCGATATCATCACACACACACGCACACATCGGCAGCGTCAAAGAGAGGGAAGGGCTCCGGCTTGCCCGAGGCGCCCGGGGCGGTGCGTCGCGGGCCGCGCGTTGTCGCCGCAACGACTGCGGGCCGAGCCGCCAAACCGCCATGCCCCGCCGACGGCGCCGCGGACCGCGACCGTCTCCACCGCGGTGGTCGCGGTGGCGGCCTGGCGGCGTGTACCCCCGTCCCTTCCCCGTCCACTCGGCCAGAAAGTGAATCTCCGACCCTTCCGGCGTGGCGCGCCACGGCCGAAACGGAAGCCGTGACTCCTAGCAGGGCCTGGCGGGGCCTCGGCCAGTGGGGTCTGCGCCCCGCGGGGCCTTGGTGTTCGGCGGGGCCCGCGCCAGCTGTTGTTGCAGTGCCCCCGGCGGCCACAGCGCCATCGCCCTCATTCCTGGCCCGGCGTGGTCTGGCGTTGCCGCCATCGCCCTGACCCTGAGATTTCGCGAGTGGCATTCGGGCCGGCGGCATCGCCCAGCACGGCCCGGCATTGCCCAGCACTCGGCTGGCTTGGCAACGATCCTCTGCCGTGAGCCGTGCCATTTGCATGCATAGTAGGAACTTGTAGTCCGTGTGCCTCGGGCAGGCAGGGCGAGGCAGGGCAGGCCAAGGGACGCCGACCTTCCCTGCTGCCTGCCCGCCCGCCTGGCAGGCTGACTGGCAGACCGCCTGGCAATCCTCTCAATCAAACACGGACTTGAAATCGCTCAATCGTGCACCACCCTCACAATTAAATTCCCGCAGGGTAGGGGTCTTTGCAGTACAAAGGAAACGGAGCTTCGTAGCCTACGAAGTTGTTTGTGAAAGAAAACACCTTTGCAAAGAAGTTCTTCGGAGGACTTTTTCTCGTTCGTATTACAAACAATGTCCCTCTCAGGCTACAAATCCACCGTTTTCTTTTTATTCGATAAACTTCTTCTTTGCGGGGCTTTAACCAAACTGTGCTTGGCAGCGTTGGTGGTTCTCGTTCAAACATCTCCCCACCGCCAGTTTGTTGTTTTTGTTTCGCCTGTTTTGCCTTGGGTGTCCAGGGAGGCGGCCGACCGGCAGTCGAACCGCCTAAGCGGGCAAGACGCGGGACGCGAGACAAAGCGGCGGGGATCTAGTTACGCCTCGGCTAAAATCCGCATCTTTTTAAGAGGGCCGGGAAGTGAAGGGAGTTGGCTGGCCGCGGAGCGCAGAGAGAGGTGCAAGTTGGCCAATCCGTGGCGGGGACCCCGGAAGGTTTCCCGGCTACTCGCAGAGCAGCGCGGCCAGCCAGCCAGTCACCAGGGAAAGAAGTGTAAGGTGCAGGAAGGCTCTGGTAATGCTGCGCGGGGTGGCAGCGGAGCAGCGGGGAGGTAACTACCTCACTTGCTCCCAATTCTCATCTCTTCCGCCGCTCCCCCTCTCCTCCCCCGCCGAGCTTTGCCCAGGCTTTGCCCAGGCTTTGCCCCGGGCCGCGCGCTGCTCTGCCGCTCCGCCCTCCTTTTTTCTCTGTAACTCGCGACCTGCAGATGAATACATCTCCGCCTCGGAAATGAGAGAGACGGGTCGGGGCGAGCTGCCTGCTCCATGCGAGTGGCACTCGGCTCGGCTCGACTCGGCACCGCTCGGCTCGGCACGTACAGGGTGACGGGCAAGATGGCGCTGTCCAGGAATTAAACGGGCCGTCGTTTATTACCGCGTTGACAGCGCCGCGTCGGCGCGAAGCGCGAAGCGGGAACTCGTTCAAAGAGGACGCCGCCGCTTCGCCGCTGCAGAAGAATTAGGGATGAGGGCGCGCTTCGCGCTTCCCAGGCGGCGACGTTGTTTCCCCGAGCGGTCACCGAGCGCCATCAATCTCGCGTAATTAACGAAATGACGGCGAGTGAATACGGAGCGGCATCGCTTTCTGCTCCCTCCTTGCCTTGCCTTTCCTTTCGGCTCTTAAACTTGGCGAATGAAATCACTATTACGGTATTGCCGCGTCCTGCTTCCTCCTCCCGGGGCCGGCCACGCCAAGGGCCACGCCGCCAGGCCGTCGCAAAGTTGGTGGCAAAGTTTCCCCATAGGCTGCTCGCCTGGAGGACGCCCTCTTTCCGCGCCAGGAGGGCCGCGGCCTTACAACGCCATCTACACTGTTAGCCTGTCCTACAGTGTCGCACGCCGTCACGCCCGCCAGGACCGCTCGACCGCCTTATTACGCAAAGGGAGGAAAAAATGGGAGTGTTTCTGGGGCTCCGTGGACGCCCTCTGATGGCGATGGCCCGCCGATGACGTGGGCCGGGACGGCGGGACGCGGAGGACAAGGGTCCCCCGGCGAGGACAGGGGAGGGGACGAGAGGGGCCGACGACCAACTTGGGAAAACATTTCCGCCGCGGCTTTGTGTGTCTGTCAGTGTGTGTGTGTGTGTTTGTGTGTGTGTTGCTCCAAATCGGACACGTGTGGCCGGGTGGCGGGCACACTGCTATCCCCTCGGAGGGCGCGCGCCTGCGATGCGGCGGTTAGGCCGCCCGCTGCCCAGGCGTGTCCGGCGGGACGGCCTACCCGGCCCTCCGCGGGCGCTACGCGGGCGCTACGCCGCTACCAGCCGTACCAGCCCTAGCCGCGGACAGGATGCCGGGGCGTCGCTTCCTTCATTGCGAAACGGGTGCAGTGCAGCCTGGCCGACAGATGCCTGCCTCGCCCGGCCTCCGGGGGACCGGCCAGTGTACGTGCGCTCGCCGCTGGCTATTCTGGGAGAGCGCTAAATAACGAAGAGACGGCGAGAAGAGAAGGCACAGTAAAAGAAGAAAGTCCACGGACGTCGCTTCGCAGTGCATAGAAAGCAAATGCATAGAGAAATCTGAGAAGAAATGCTTCGTATAATGAATCAAATTTCTTCGTCGTACGAGGCATTTCTTCATAACACGAAGCAATCATCAGTGATGGAGCAGATGTTTCGCAGCCCTTTTTGAGTGAGCGGGGCGTGGATGCCGAGTAAAGTGGACGCAGTGAGGGGGTTGGGGAGCGGGGCGGGGACCATTGACGACTCGACGAGTTTCACTTTGATTCGCATTCAGAGGAGAATGAACCTCGTGGGGCGGGGGGCTGGTAGCCGACGTGGAGGGCAGGCCGAGGCAGGACGGGGGTGATCGGGCCGCACCCCGATCGTCGGAGACGGGCCGCGATGTTCGGAGCCCTTTCCCCCTTGGCCCTTTGGGCCCTGCGCGTCGCTGCGCGTGTCGCGGCGTGAAGGGCAGTCGGCGAGACGCCGGGCCCAGGGCGACGGCGGCGAGTGCTCTCAAAGTCCCGTTCGCGCCTCAAACTTTAAATGAGATTTCCGGGCCGCTGTTCGGCACGTGAGAGTGCATGTCGCCCGACCCGCGTGTGACTGCGACGCAGCACACCTGGGCCTCGTCGAGGGCGCCAAGGACTCGCCGAAGGGCCTGGAAGTGATCCGCGGCCGCGGGGCTTCCGGGCCGACGCGCGGCGAACGGCGGCAAGGAGACTGATGCCCTGATTATGGCCAGGCGGCTGGAAACAATCATTCAAATGAGGCAAAGCGGGCAAAGCGCCCCCACCGCGGCAGGCCTGCACGGTGTGCCGGCAGCGGGCTCATTCCGAGCGGCGCCTCGTCGTGCTGTCTCACTCGCACGCCTACAGGACACCCCTCGAGTGCGAGAGAGAAAGAGCGACCGCCCCGTTGGCTGGAACTCGCTCACTGCCGCCTTGCCTTCGGTGCTGTCGCGGTGATCCAGGTGCGGATCAAGGAAGGCGCCTTCGCCTTTGTGGCTTTTTCGCGGCGCACCGCAGCCCCATTCGTCCACTCGCTCTGTCGGTGGCACTTCCCCCGGCGATCTATCTCTCGCAGCGGAGAGCGGGGAGCGCCGCCGAACGCGTCGCCGAACGCGTCGCCGCTCCCCGGAGGCTGATCGCGCCGCCAAGTTCTCCTCCTCGCGAGTCGAGTGCTCTGACAAGCCGCGCCGCCGAAGGAGTTTCTACAGCGGTTCGTCGCCCTGTCTCTGTTGCACCCCTGGAAGGCCCCTCGAGTGCGACAGAGACAGCGTCGCCGGAACAAGGCGTCGGCGCGGCCTATGTGCTCGCCCAGCTAATCGCGGGGGTGTTTGGTGTTTGAGTCGGGCCTCCCCCTCCCTGGGGCTGCCCAGCCACGCTCAGCCACGCCCAGCCACGCCGAGGGCGAAAAGCGAAAGTAAAGCAACGCGCTCAAAGTGATTTTCTGGCCGGAAAAGCGACTCCAAGGTCACGCGCGGCGCGGGGCGGCGCGGCGGGGAGGTCGGGCCGATTCAGTTAGGGTTACGGCCCTCTCGGTGTCGGCGCGGCGCGGCGGTGCCGCGGGCCGCGGTATCGCACCTGGGGATCTTTTGCGCCCCGCTCCAGGCCGGGGCCTGCGGCGGGCCCGCGGCGGGGCCCGCGACTCACTTTCCCCCTCGAGGCCGAGAAGGCCCCGCTCGTGTGGTGTGGAACCGAAGGCCCCGCCCCGCCCCGCGCCGCGCCGCCGGAGTGCACGAGAAGTCGATTCCAATTTGAGCAAAGTAGCGAAAATTCGCCCCGCCAAGGAATATATACGGCGGCGTGTCGCGCCCGCGTGCTGTAGATGCGCGTCTTCTTGCTCTGAGGGAACTGTCTGACTTTCTGGAATGATTATTCACGAGCGGGGAATTTCTGACAGTCCCCGCACGCTCGGAAATGAGGGGAAATTGCCGGTGATTTCTGTCAAGACAAAGCGTTTGTGTTGTGTGGGTGTCTTTGCTTTTTCGCAGCGTGCTGACGGCGTGCTTTGTCTGTTTGTTGCAGGCGGGGAGCCGCGCATGAGCCGCCAGTCGCTGCCCGTCGAGTCCCTGGAGGGCTCGGACGCGCTGCTGACGTGCGTCGTCACGGACGTGGCCAACAACACGGTGCTCTGGAAGTACATCAGCCGCGGCCAGGACGGCAACCCCGAGGCGCTGCGGGCGCGAGTGCTCACCGCCGGCGAGACCAGGATCACGTCGGACCCGCGCTTCAGCGTGCTGCACGACGCGGGTAAGGCTGTGCGTCGCTCGGCGTCGCTCTGCACCGGTCTTGGGTTCGAATCCCGGGCGCGGCGCGCGCGCTTTGCGAAAACGGCGGAATACGGCGCCGGTAATCTGAAGGGCCTTTTGGCTAGGATGAAGGGAGGAGGGGAAGCCCGAAGCCGGCCGGCCAGGGAGGCAGTTGTGCCCAGAGTCTAAACGTGGCAAATTTACATTTTAAAAGTGTATTGCACTGCGCCGCGCCTTTGGAGGGGGTGGGGGCTTTTGCAGAGGGCAGGCAACTTCTCAAAATATGAAAGGAAAGTGAAATAAAAAGTAGGGAGCGACTGAGCAGGGCGGGTCGAGGCAGGGTGCTGCCCTGCCGACCGAAGCATTGGCAAAGGGGTGGAAAAAATTATGTGCGGTCCAGCGGCGCAGGCCGGGGTTAGGGTTAGGCTTGTCGGGAGGGGAGGGGGTGCAGGGGGATGAGACAATAAGGCGAGGGGCGAGAGGAAATTGGAGGAGATCCGACCGCCACGACGTTATAATTCGCAAGGTTTGCCGCCACGGCTTCGCCTCGCCTAGCCAGCAGGCTGATTCCGAGAGTCGTTTTCGTCGCTCTGTCTCTCTCGTACTCATGGAGCGTCCCCTCGCACCTATAGGGGACGCTCCATGAGTGCGAGAGAGACAGAGCGACGAAAACGACTGGGAATCGGTCGGCTGGCCTCGCCTCGCCTAGCGGAGCAGAGCGGCCAGCCGATTGACGGCGTGGCTCGGATTTCGCGGGAGACCGCGTCGAAAAGAGCGGCGCCATTGTGTGTGTGTGTGTGTGTGTGTGTGTGTGTGTGTGTGTGTGTGTGTCGCGCGCGCGCGCGCGTGTGATGCCTTTTGATCGGCCGCTCGCGATGGAGTGCGTGAAGGCAGCCAAGGACGATGTAAGAGGGCCGCTTGTGGCAGCCTGGCCCAAGGCCTGGCCGTGGCCTGGCAGTGCGGCAGTCCATGGTCTGCGCACTCATTCTGCGGTCTCGGCTTTTGCCGGCTTGGCCGGGCCGGGTGGTGCGGCCGGTGCGGGGTTGCTATGCCGGCGCGCCGGGGAGTGGGTGGAGTGGGGCGCTATTAGGTGTGCCGAAAGGTAGTTGTTGAGGAAGAGGGCGAAGGGTGGGAGGCTGGGAGTGAAGGGCAAGACAAACACTTGCCGTTTCGCGTGAATCAAAGGACCGAACGGCCAAGCGGCCCTAGAACCGAACTCTTAGGAAGCCTCTTTTTGTGTCGCAAACAGATTTGCGGGCTGCTTTTGTGGGTGACTGAGTGGCCGTCGGGGCCCGCGCGGTACCGTACCGCTGCGATTAGACCATTGGACGCGACCAGACGCACCGAGCTTTTCGATTGGTGCAATTTTTTTTTTTTTTTTTTTGAAGTGTTTTTCTTTTTGCATAGTCCGCCGATGCACAATATGTCCTAAGTAGGTACGTGTTTTTGTTTTGTTTTGCTTGTTTACTTCTTCCTCTCACAACGGCGTTGTGTTCTCTTCGTTGCCGCGTGTGCCTTTTAGCAGCGGTACCCTGCAGGCCACTACGTATTTGCAATGCATTCGAGAAACAAACGCGCTTAGAACATTATTTTTCTTCCTCTTTGCCTTTAATTTTTTTTCTTTTTTTTGTAATTTGTTTTTGAATTCGGGCTCCGAGACCCAGCGGTGTATAATCGTCGAGGGCAGGTCGAGGCCGTAAAGTGGTTCGGGGAAGCCGCGGCGGGGCGCGCGTTCAATAATAATTATTTGTCAAGTGTATATAGGCGGCGTCGCGTGGCTGCGGCACGCCGAGAGCGCCGCTACAGAGTATCGGTTTTATCGAAAAGACACGCCACTCGGTGGTGGTGCCGCCACGCCGCGACGCAGCCAGTGGTGCCGCAAACAATTTGGGAGTGCCGCCCCGCCCCGCCCCGCCCCGCCCCGCTGCCGCAGGTGTTTGTCCGAGTGGCGCCAGCCGCCTCATTAATTCCCTGTCCAGGGGGAAGTGGGAAAGGAGTGGGAACCGCGCTAAGGGCTGGGCTTGGTCCGCAAGGCCCTCGACCAAGTTGTTGAAAGATCTGAAAGCGACACGCTCTCCTCCGTGTGCTCCAGGGGGCGGCGTGTGGGTGCTGTCCATCCTCAACGCCACCACCAAGGATGCCGGCATCTACACCTGCGAGCTCAACACCACGCCGCTGCAGCGCTCCTTCCACGAGCTCATCGGTGAGTCTAAGTCGACCAGTCGACCCGTCGAATCACTGCAACCGCCGGACTCCCTTCAACCAACATGCTGCGTGAGCGATTCCCCAGAGAAATGCTCCTCATAAATTTTAATTAATTTTAATTTCTTGTGCTCCCCGGTTTCTTCCCTCCGCAAAGTTTCACTCGGAATTCTTGGCGCCGTTTGCGACGCGATCCCGGTCGCCGACAAGAAGGTCGATGAGATGGCCCCTCTGACGGCGGCCCTTTGCTGCCCCTCGGCAGCTCTCGGCAGCGAGGGGCCGTAATCGTTTCCGCCGTGACAATTTAAAGGGCCACGGTGTCGGTCGCCCGGCTAATGCCTGTCGATGCCAACAGAGCCGGCGGCACTCTCCCTCGCACTCGTCGGGCGCCTCGTGAGGGTGCGAGAGAGAGCGACCGACGAGATGAGCCCGCTGCGGAGCCAAGACGCTAAAGACACTCTGCGCGTCCCGCGCCTCCACACTCCACAATCCAATAAGACATTCCGACCGGCCGCCGGGCCGAGGCGGAGGAAGGGAGGCAGGGGGAGGGACGGTGTGGAGGAGCAGGAGGATCACGGCGATGAGACGAATCAGCCGCCAGACTTGGCCCCTACTGCGCCCCTGGTTTCCAGCCTACCGTTCCGCAAAAAAAAAGATGAAGTTTCTCTTATTGATTTTTTAATTTGACGTTCCAGTGAGGCCAGCGTCGACGAGTGCCCCGCCGGCCGCCACCAAGGCCCCCACCGCCTCCTCCGCACTCACGACCACGCCGTCGACGCCCCGGATCCGAGATGAGCCGAGCCGCGCGCCGCCCGTGCACAACTACACCCAGTGCTGCGTGGACGCCAAGGTCACCTGCCTCGGCTTCTGCAACATCCAGAGCATCCTTGAGGGCAACACCGGCCAGGACCCCGAGAACTGCGAGGCCGACTTCCCCGCCATCGTCAAGTGCATGGCAGGTGAGGTTCGGAGCAAGTTGCACTCCATTGGCTGTTTATTTTCGCAACAGAGGAAGGAGTGCGCGTCTAGACCATCTGGCCTGCAGGCAGACGACGCAGATGAATTTAATTAGTTTGAAACTTTTGACCAGACGAAGCGATATGCTCCCTCAACTTTTTACTGTGATGAACCAGAAGTGGAACTAAAGAGATTTTTTTCTGGTGCAGACGGGCGCAACCACGTGCCGTGCTGCATCGACGCGGGCGTGCCGGACATCTGCCGAGACGTGTGCCGCGGCGAGTACACCGTCATCACGGACAACATCAAGACGCACTTCTCGTGCAGCCGTTACACGGAGCAGACCCTGGCCTGCATCGCGCAGGGCGTCGGTCAGTACACTGCCTTTCCACTTAAGTTTCTCTTAAGTGTGTTTGCGAGTGAGTTGCGTGCTGTGCGTCATCGTTTGTACGACCTCTTTTTGTCCGACCTGCCGAAATTCGTCCCGCTGTTATATTTTTCTACGACCTCTTTTTGTCCGACCTTGTCACCGCCTCAGCCCCCTTCCCCCCCAAGCTCAGTGAGGTGGGTTCTTGACGCAACAGGACTCGACCGACCCGGTCAAAATTTCGCAAGAAGTTGGGGGAGTCGAACCGCCGACCCTAGCACTGGGAACCGACGCCTCTACTCCCTGGACCACCACGTCCCACGCTCGAAGTGGGCTCACGTTCACGGGTTTGAACCGCAGTGGGTGAGGCAGTAAAATTAAATGGAAATATTTGTTAGGAGTCGAACCTCCGGCATGTGGGCCTGTTGCACACGGCTCCGCTCTGATGGCCTCGAACAACCACCCTTAGGATAGCAAGTCGAAAAAACTTTTGTGACGCTGGTATTCGAACGCCGGCCTGCGGTAACTCGATCCCACGTCTCTACCTCTCTGCTATCACAGCAATTGTGAAGTGCGATGGAAGGTTTGTTCCTATCACCTGTTCTGACAAAAAGAGGTCGTACAAACGATGTACTCCGCGTTTGTCTGCTCCAGCATGACTACCTGCGCTACCTGCGCGCTGCAGTCAGCTCCATACCAACGCGCTGACGCATTCAGGGAGCTACTCCTCGCCTGACGGGATGAGTGGCGGCAGGGGGCATCGCGAGGAAGGCGCAGGATGCGTGATGCATATGCATATGCGTCCCATGCCTCGTTTCCTGATGTGCGACAGCAGCGAGCGCAGTCCAAGAATGGAGCCGGGCGGACGGAAGGGCGAAGGCAGAGCGCCGGCCTAGTTCCCAACTCCCCCCTGCCCCTTTCCTTGCGCGCGACATCCGGATAAGTGCACACTGCGGGCCGTTCTGGACTGGCGGGATGAGAAATCTGAAGGCGCGCTTTGAGCCATCAGTCAAGGGAGACTTCCACCCCCATACCCCCTGCCCTCTCTCTCCCACCCGGACACCAGATTTAGCCCCCTCGGAGTGCGCGGTCGCGCGTGCACTTTATCTGCCTTTCTGGCGCTTTCTAATGGTGCATATTGTCGGGCCGAGCTAGAGCTCGCTAGAGCTAGCCGGGCACTGTCAGCACACCGACCCGCCATTCGTCGCCGCCTCCTGGGCCGCCCCACCCCGTCCCCTAACCCCGTGCCCCTTTTCGTGTCGTGGCGGGCCAGCGGGCCCCACAACGACGCGACGGGACGTCATCGTAAAACTGAACGGTCAGCAGGGCACATGGCCCACTGCAATTCCCCCTTCCCCCCTCTCTCCTCCGTCGTGCTGCTGTGATTCCACTCGGGAGTGCGGCAGGAGTGCTTGGCACCCGATCCGATCGACCGTACCCACCAACGCACTTGTGTGTGGCGTCAGGCTGTAGTCTGATACCGAAACGCGCTTGGTCTCTCTGTCTCTCTCTCTGTCTCTCTCTCTCTCTCTCTCTCTCTCTCTCTCTCTCTCTCTCTCTCTCTCTCTCTCTCTCTCTCTCTCTCTCTCTCTCTCTCTCTCTCTCTCTCTCTCGCAGGGTGCATCCCGTGGGGGTGTGCGAGAGGGACAGGGCGACGGGGTGCATGATTGTTTGAGGGGGAGGGGACGCCGGGGCCATGACCTGCACTCGGTGGTGCCGGAGAGAAGACGGAGACGGACTGCAGCAGCGCAGCGGCGCGCGGCCAGCGGGAAAGCTCCTCCGCTGGTCCAGTCAAAGTGACGGGGTGGCTTTCCTCCTGAGCTGAGACTGCCCAGCCCAGCCAGCCCCAGCTGCCACTCTCCTCTCTCTCTCCCTTTCTCGGTCCGGCCCGCTCGGCCTGCTGGTCCGCGCTCGCTGGTCCGCGGATTACGCTGGGCTCGACCCTCCCGGAGTGTGGCCCTTAGCCCTGGGATCTTGGGCCGCTTGTACCAGGCCGGCGAGGAGGTCCCAGTCCCCGGTCCCCGGCGCCTAATATGGCCCTGCTCACGCGGGGGCACGGACGGCACGGACGTCGCGAGGACCGCGGACCGGACCGTCCGCGCAGCCAGCAGGAGCCTGCAGGAGCCCGCAGGAGGGCGGCCCAGGAGGCTCTTTCCCAACGGTGCTATCGTCGCTCTGTCTCCCTCGCGCTCGCCGAATGTGTCCGAAGGGGTGCGAGGGAGACAGCAGCGCTCCGAAGCCCCTCTTGGAACCAGCCTGCAGGCCCGGCACCGGGGCCCGGCACCGGGGCCCGGCACTCGTGGGGTCATTGGCAGTCAGGCCCAGTGCGCGGGGCACGCGGCGCACGGCGTCTCGTCGCGTCCTGATGGGATGAACTGTCAATATTTATTGGACTTCATTGTCCAAGTGGAGCCCGGCCGGCTCACGGCTGGTCGAATTCGGTTTATCTATCCCCGATATTCATACGGCCTGTTGGCATTATTTGAGCACGGGCCTGCTGGGAGGGCGAGCCAAGGCCCCGCCCTCGAGCTGGCCGAGCCATGGAGCTCATCATTTTTTGATCTTACCCATGCTTTCGCAGACAGGCCGGGGGCCGCCGCGCCATGCTGTCCGTATCTCTTCCTCCTTTTCTCTCTTTTCCCGTTTTCTGATCGGACGCGCTGCTTCCCCGCAGAGATCCTGCCCTCCCGCCCGGAGAGGGTGTTCGTCGAGTCGGTGTCCATGACCACGCTGCGCGTCAACTGGCGCGCGCCCCTGCACGCCAACGGCGCCCTCACGGGCTACGTCGTCAACCTCACGAGCCTCAAGACGTTCGACGACCGGCCGCTGGAGCGCGGGCCCGGCTCTACCGAGGCGCCCAGCTCGCAGAGCATCGTCATGCCCCACGCTGTGCAGATCAAGGTGAGGGTTCAGGGTTCGAACCCCGGCGCCCGCCGCCCTTTCCGACGAGCTAACTGTAACATTGCTTCTGCAGGTACCGCCGACCGACCTGTCCGCTGAGGTGAAGGACTTGACGCCCTTCACGATGTACGAGGTGAGCGTGACCGCCTTCAACAAACACGGCTCCTCGCTGCCCTCCGACGCCATCCGCTCCCTGACGCTGTCGCCGCGGTCCGCCCCCAAGCCGTCGTCCGTGGCCAAGCCGCCCAAGCTGCCCGACATCAAGAGCTGCTGCGTCGCCAAGAACATCTCCCGCGGCGGGTACGTCGGCCCGACTTTTGTAACCTCTATGTGATAATTTTACTGTTTTCTTGGGCCTCTAAAAGTTATCCTTTCAGTGTTTTGTTTGCGCCAACCTAATTTCGGAGTTGTTTCCACTTGGGCGCTGCGCTGCCCCTCCCTCGGCTCAGCCGGCGGCCGCAAGTTTGCCTGCATCTCATTTGGCCCTTGGCGGCCCTTGGCGGCCCTTGGCCTCTCGCTGCTGCAGGTGCGTGGACAAGCTGTGCGACCCCGCGCGCCACTCCGCCGTGCAGGTGCCCGACCTCATGATCTGCGCGCCCTGGGCGGCCTCCGCCTTCAGCTGCCTGGCCAACGGCGTGGACCACACCAACTGCTGCAAGGCGCGCGGGCTGCCCGAGCTCTGCCAAGAGCTGTGCTCCGGCAACGTCACCCAGATCGACTTCACCTACTTCAAGTGGGTACCGTGACGAAGCGGATGCTTCGAAGACTTTTTTGAGTGTACGCTGTACTAACGCTCTCGACCCTGCCCGCCTCCAGGTGCGTGCAGTACATGGACTCGTACTCCAGCTGCCTGCTGCAGGGCTACGGCGTGCTGCCCAGCTCGCCCACGGGCGTGTACGTCTCCAACGAGGACATCGACTTCGCCATCGTGCACTGGGACCAGCCCAAGACGCTGGGAGAGACGGTGGGTTGGGGAGGGCGGGAAAGCAGCGGGATTAGTCCCGACGCGACCAGGCTGCGCCGCGCTGCGCCGCGCTGCGCCAGGCGAGCCACCCGGAATCAATTAACTAAACCCTAAAGCAGCTGCAGCGAGGGCGTTGTCGCGCCGCGCCGGGGGAGTGGCGGGGCGGGGCAGATTGAATTATGCTTCGTGAGAACCCCCGATTCTGGTGGCGAATGGGGTCCTGTTATTCACTTGTGCCTGGTGAATGCCCTGCCGTCTGGGCCCCGCCGGGCACTGGGTCCCTGCGCACCCGGCCCCCTCATTGGCCCTCAAAGACGCGAACGCCACCGCGCCGTGTAGACTAACTTGGCACTGGCTGCTCCAACAGGTCAAGAGCTACTTCATCAACTACCGGCAGCTGGACGCCGACGAGCCCCAGGACTACACCGTGGACGCCGCCACCCACAGCCCCTTCATCCTGGAGGGCCTGCAGTCGGACGCGCGCTACGAGGTGTTCCTGGAGGCCGTCAACGCTCACGGGCCCGGTGAGCCGTCGTCCAGGGTCGTGTTCAAGACCAAGAGCAAGGTAAGGATCGAAGAAAAGACGTCTGGTTGGCCTGGCTAGCGCCCTGAGTCGGCGACCTTGCCAGTGCGTCGCACAGGTAGCCTCGCCCAAATGTAACCAGCGTTTGTCGCGCAGCTGGAGGAGGCCCAGATCGAGGACGCGGCTGTGTACAACCTGACGGCGTGCTGCGTCAGTGCCGACCTCAGCCAAGCCTGCCTGCCGCTGTGCAGCTACGACGCGTCCATGAACGACATCCAGGCTCTGGGAGCCGTCTGCGGCGGCGAGTTCAACAAGCTTCTACGGTACGTTCCGAAACCCAAGTGTGAAAAATATGGTTTGGCGTCCGGCAGTATTTGAACCCACGACCCGTGCTCGCTCCGCAGGTGCGGCGCTGGTGGGCGTAACCACGGCCCCTGCTGCGGGCGGCGCGGCGTGCCCCCGGAGTGCATGCCACTGTGCTCCGGCGTGGTGGCCGACTCGCTCATCGCCACCGCCACGCGCTGCATCCCCTTCATCGGCAACATCGTGCAGTGCTTCGAGGAGGGCACGGGGCTGCTGCCCGGCCCCGTGGGCAGCCTGCAGGCGCGTGACGTGACGGATGACGCCGTGACGCTGTCCTGGGAGCCGCCCGTCGAGTCCAACAACGCCAGCGAGTACATCGTGCACTACTCCAAGGTGGACAACGCCACGTCGCCGACGCCCTTCTTCCCGTTGACCAAGGTAAGTCGCCGCCAACCCTTTGACGCCGCAGCGCCACCGAGCTCTCTCTCACTCGCCCTAATTTGCTCTCGTAGAAAAACACGACGGACACGAGCATCGTGCTGTCCGGGCTGGACAAGGACGCGCACTACAACATCTTCGTGGTGGCCAAGAACAAGCACGGTACCTCCCTGCCCTCCGCCGTCATCCTGGTCAAGATCACCAAGGCCGCCGGCGACTCGACCGTCAAGGGCGTCACCTCGCCGCCGCACTCCGTGGTGGTCTCGGGCCACTCCGCCACCTGGGTCGCCGTGTCTTGGCAGCCGCCCGAAGTGAGCCACCCCTCCGAGAAGCTGACGTACCGCCTGCACTTCAAGGCCGCCGACGAGCCCTCGTTCGTGGTCATCGAGACGACCGTCACGTCGCACGTGTTGGAGCAGCTCACCCCCAACACCAAGTACATCATGTTCGTGTCCGCCGTGTCGCAGGCCGGCGAGAGTCTGCCCTCTGAGACGCTCCTGGCCTGGACCGAGCCCGCCCTGCCACCCCACGTTGAGGTACGTACTCGAACTGCGCCATAAACTTAACTCAACATTAGAGTCTCATGAAAATGAAAATTGTAAATACTGACGCAGCCGCCCACCGTCCACCCCATGAACCTGGTGATCGAAGGCAGCAGCATGACCGTCCTCTGCATCGCCATGGGCACCCCCACCCCCACCATCTCGCTGTACCTGAGCGGCCGCCTGGTGCGCCAGAAGACGACCAGGCACATGGTGACGGTCATCAGCAACGTCACGAGGGACATGAACGAGATCTCGTGCTACGCGGACAACGGCTACGGCACACCCATGCAGGCGTCCAAGCGCATCGTCATCAGCCGTGAGTGACTCAGCGCCAAAAATGAAATTAAGTACTGTTTGTCTATGCTAAAAGTGTCCTGCGCCTCCAGACGGCCCCCACATCACCGCGGCGGGCATCACCATGGCCGTGCTAGGTGACACGGTGGACTTGGAGTGCACCGTGGAGGCGCAGCCCCAGCCCAAGATGCTGTTCTGGAAGGACGCCTCCGGCTGGATGCCCGTCATCCAGGGCGGCCAGTACAACATTAACGTCAACAAGGCCCGCGACGTGAGTAGCTCGCTCTGTCTCGCTTGCTCTCATGGGGCCGGTGCGACAGAGACACTGCGACGTCCCTGACTTGGCATTTCTCCGCAGGAGGAGAGCAAGTGGACTATGAAGCTGACCATCAACAAGATCAAGGAGACGGACGAGGGCGAGTACTACTGCCACGCCGAGAACGCCTTCGGCTCCTCCACGCAGCCCGTGTCCGTGCGCATCCGCAACGTGGCGGCCACCAACAACGTGACGCAGTGCTGCATGGAGCAGAACGTGTCCTCGTCGTGCATGGACGCCTGCTCCTTCTACCTGGACATCGACGCCGTCATCGACAGGCCCGCCTGCGTCGGCGAGTTCGACAAGCTCATGAAGTGCGCCGCAGGTACCTAGACCCGTTTAAATGGAATTCTAGTCTCGCCGCTGGGCCGAGCGACCTGCACCCAGACTAACCTCATTACCGCCCTCTTTGAACTCGCCCCCCGCAGACGGGTCGGACCACCGGTCCTGCTGCGCGCAGTGGGGCGTGCCCCGGCGATGCCTGGACTGGTGTCGCGGCGAGCCCTTGCTCAACGGCAAGTTCTGCGTGCTGTCCTACACCAAGCAGATCGTTAGCTGCTTCCAGGAGAACAGAGGTGAGAAAAACCCTGCCTGCCCAACTGTTACAGGGCTTTGTCCTGCATCTTAGGCCGCTAGCTGTGTGACTTCGTGACTCCACTCATGATTCCTCCTTCCTTCGCAGACAAGCTGCCTGGGCCGCCGCAGAACGTGCAGGTGGAGCCCATCGACAGCCACTCGGTGCGAGTCAAGTGGGAGCCGCCCGTCAAGAACCCCCACACCGTCGAGGTGTACAGGTACGCATCCGCATCTCATAAAACCTATTCATCAGTTTTGGGTTTTCAGGATTTTTTCTGTCGGACTTTGAAGAGTTCTTCACCTTGAGCAAAAATTCTAAGTTGTCAAACGGTTGCTGTGGTTGCAGGGTGTTCTTCCGCCAGCAAGCCGCCGGCAGCAAGGCGCTGAAGAACGACACCAAGGCCACGTCCGTGATCCTGACCGGCCTCAAGGAGAACGCCGACTACGAGTGCGTGGTGAAGGCTGGCAACCACCTGGGCACGTCCACGCTCACGGAGCCCATCGTGTTCAACACGGCCTCGGACAAGTACATCACCACGTCCAGCAGCCTCGGTGAGAAAAGGGGGGAGTCGGTGTAGTGGCACTCCAACCCCGGGCTCCCTTTCGTCAACTCGGTGCTCTTGTTGCAGGCGACGACTCCTCGCACGTGGGTGTGGCCGTCGGCGTGGTGCTGGCCCTGCTCATCGTGCTCGGTGTGGTGGCTGGCTCCGTCTGGTTCGTCCGGTCGCGACACTTGCTGGGACGCAAGCACCCGGGAGGCGTCGCGTTCGAGAACCCGTCGTACCTGCGGGAGGTCAACATGGACCACATTCAGGTACGCTGTTTTTTTTTGTTTTTTTTTTATCTTCTTCAATGAAGGGCGTTTCAATGATTGGGCGTTTCGCTTATTGCCTGCCTGGCTTGTGTTTCGCCGCTTCGCAGGTTCCTCAAGGCCAGCCCGGCGAGAACCCCCTGGCCTCGGCGATGAACGGGTCCGCGGGCGCGGGCGGCCTGTCCACGCTGTCTGGCACCGGGAACGGCATGCCGGGGGCGTCCGGCGGCGTCGGCTGGAAGCAGGAGAGCCTGCACGTGCCCGCCCAGCAGCAGGAGGTGGCGCCCTCACTCTACGAGGAGCTCAAGCTCGGCCAGGACGGCGCGGGCTTCAAGAAGCTGAAGCCCTAGTATCAGCCCTACGACTTGGAGTCACCCCTGTAGGCCTGCAACGCTGCTGCAGGCCTGTAGGCCCCTCCTAGGACGCTCCAAGCAGTTGGGAATCTGGATTCAGGGGAAGCGCGCCCGAGGAAGACCAGGAAAGAGTCACTGCCTCTGCCAGCAGCTGTGGATCCACGGAAAGCCTGCGCGACGTACCGAAAATTGCCTGTTACATCGGCAAAGCGCGACTTTTTGCCTACCTTCCGCCGAAATCTTCCATGATGGCAGTGCCTCGGCGTGTGAGTGTTAGAAAGTGCAGGGCAGAGTAGGCAGTCTCTAAACTGCGCCAAGTCTATTTGTTGCTACGACATCAACATCGTCGTGCCACAGAAAGTGAAGGCTGTAGGCAGAAGAATTGGCATCATTTCAACACACTTGTTAACAAAGGAGGCACATTCCTTCTTTATCTGTTTTTTTTTTTTTTTTCTTGCTGTTGAAACGGTGAGCCTTCCCCTACGTAGGCAGGTTGACGAATTTCAGTGTGATATAATTATTAAGGTGGCCTTGTCTTGTGGTAGCTGACATTAGGAGGGTCGCATTTGTTAGGTCAGAGTATCATGTAGTGTTTGGATTTCTGAGGAATTCCCTTGGACTTGATGTTACTCAAGATTAATCTATTGTGATCATCAAGCTGTGTTGAGTGCCTGCAATTTGAACATAATTTTCAGTGACTAGGAAAAGAATGATTGAATGAATGAATGAATGAATGAATGAATGAATGAATGAATGAATGAATGAATGAATGAATGAATGAATGAATGAATGAATGATTGAGTGAATGACTGAGTAAATGAATAGGAGTCCTATGAGAGTTTCTGTAAATATTGATTGACTGGACAATACTTACAAATAAACATAACATTAGATTATTTTTAGTGTAACTGTTCTTGTATGTCAATATATACTTTATTTTTTAAGTAGACCGTTTGATCGGTGGATGAAAATTATTTGTTCACCATAGATTTTTTTTTATAGGCACTGAAAGCGGTAGGTTCATTGCATTACTTGTAACATATTGCTTCAACATCCAAATGTATCCTAGAATTCCCTCATACTGATTTAGTATCAGGACTTGAGGTTCATTTCATTGCCTTGTGATGTGAAAATGCTGCGAAACTCTGATATGTGAATGAATGAATGAAAAATTATAGATGATGAAAGTATTAGAAAATAATGTAACTTAGTTTCTGCTGTTTGACAGTATGCAAGAATAGTATCAATGTCAATGAATCTCTTCTTTACCTGGAAGTCACTGTCGCAGGTGAGACAACTGTACCTGTTTTTAGTGACAGTAAATGGTTAATTTTGTCATGACTATGTGTTAGCAAGGACACCAGCAAAAAAAATTAGACAAAAAATCAAAGTCAAATGCTGGGTGTTCTTTTTGAAAAATTTTTGACAGACACCACCTGTACCCTTTTAAAAATTCTACTGTTTCAGTATTTAACTGAGTGGGCCTAGATAATGTGAACCAAATAAGCATCAGGGAGTGCATTGGCAAGGGGATAGCAAGGGGGAATACTAGTCTTTTCTAAAGTATAGTATGATGGTGAGATAAGACAGTTACAGTTGAAGCTTCTACAAACAAAGAAAAGTTGATTTTAAAAAAAAAAAAATTTTGATAGAGGAGTAATTACTTATGGTTGGTGTTTCCCCCTTTTTTATTTGGTATTAATCTTTAACGTGACCCATGGACATTCACCAACCTTTTTGTCTTGTAACGAAAGCAGACAGTATCTCACCACTACTTAGATAAATAAGGATGTTTCTGATGTTATTGAACCAGTCATGAATAGTGTAGTTAAGAAAGACAATCATTGTCGTGCTTTGTAAATACACATTTTGCAAAATTGTCTCATAGTATGATACGAATGAAAATTTATGGAAAGTGATTACTTGGGGTAGGAATAGTTTGGTACCTGTTTGGTGCCTGCATAGCCACCAAAAGAAATTACTAAACCTCAGAAGTGATTATTGAAACAGATATATGTAATTAAATTTATGGATTTTAGAATGAAAGTGATAGACCTTTGTCGGGAAAAACCATCTATACCTAGTTTGTAATAGGTAAGACAGATAAGTGTGATTTACTTTTAGGAAATATCAGAACTATTCTGCTTTTCTGAGCTGAGCGGAATATCATAAACTCTGTGCACTTGTTTTTGTTCAAAGAGTCCACAAGATTACAAAGGTATCAGTTTCCAGGTGGAAAGCTTTTACGGCACAACATGCTTTTTCCATTTCCAAGAGATTTTTGATAAAAGCACATCACAATCTGTAATGATTTGTTTGCCAGAGTGAGAACAATATGATATCAATGAATTAGCCTACACTTTTCACTTATGCCTCAATGATTAATGTTGTGCTGTTCCTGGCAAGTATTGATAAGCGAGCATGTAAAGGAAATGTGAAGCCGTCCAATTGAATTAGAATTAGTTGGGACCAATTCACAAAATGTTGTGAATTCTATTGAAAGAGGATGATTAATTTTTGGTATATTTTACATGTGGAAAATGCTGATATTGTTTTAAGCATTCTTTTCTTGGTTTATTATACAAGTGTTACAAGTTTTATTTCATACATATCATACATTAGTTTTATCCTGTCCCCTCTTGTAAATATTGATTGTTAATATGGCGTGCAGTGCACATGTGAATGCCCTTCTCATGTTCCTTAGAAAATTTTGTTTCCATTTTACGCTTTAAAACATGATCTTCATCTTTACTTTTCAAGCAGACCTGTTACACATTTTTTTCTGTTAAAATTATCTGCAACAATCATGTGCATTTAGAGTGTATTTTTGAACAATTATGCTAACTGAAATGTGAAATTTCTGGATTAGGCCTTGATAAAGTATTTTAGTTGTTAGTAATTCTTATGCTAACATTGCCAATAAGTTAAATGTCTAGTCCACTCTGATATAATTGTCTATTCATGTCAATACATTATTGCTGGGGCTATCATCCAGCATTCATCGGTTATGAAGAAATGTTGATGTCATAGCTTTTGAGCTCAAGATTCCTCTGTTAGTGTTGTCAAGTTACAACTCTGTGACTCATTGGCTGCAAGAGGTACATTCCATTATGTAGTCATGAAGTCTTTGCTCAGAGGTTTAGCATTTTTTGGTGATTGTTGGGCACATTTTAGCTTGAATCTTACTTTCAAAAGGTAGAAGTGTTATCAACTCTTGAAAGAGCGCTACTTAACTGGAAGGGAGTTCAATTAAATTGATCTGAGAATGAAATAGTTGCTGTTCGAAGTGGCCTTGTTTTGCCCCAAAAAATGTTCCCTTCTTGTTTTTGTTTTTTTAGAAATAAAACTACTAAGGCAATCAAATCTTTTCATTTCACAGTGCCCGGCGCCTGCCGGGTACGCAACCCATTCGACACCTTACCTTCGGGCCTCATAGCCGCTGCTCCGCTCCGTTGGCGTTCAGTGGTAATCGGCGGTGGCATAGAGAAGAACATCGCGCGGCTGAAAGCTGTGGACGATGGGTTGCCTGACTTTCTGGCGCAGGCTCTAATCATTCCAGTTTTTCGCCAGAAAATGACTGCTAATGGCCGAAATGGTCCTTGAAATTGTACCAAGAATCATTGGGGAGTGCTCCAGTACAACATGCCATAGTTTGGGCCATTTTAAATTTTTGGCCGAAAACGGCAAAAACCTTAGCTTTTTTTTCGACAAAAATGGTCAGCCACCTCAGAATTGTCTGAAATTGATATGAAACGTTGCCCTGAGTCTACGAAACAGATGACCGGTGGCAAATGGTCTTAAGCACATTCTATTCGGAGTGAAAATGACTTTTCCCGTGACGCTTGTTGAGTGGTGCGGCGTGGCTGAGTGCGAAACCAAAACGAAGGAGAGAACGCCTCAATTCCGATTCTCCCTGGTCTGTACTGTAATTGCGGGTGGCGCTTTCCTTGCGTCCATGCTGGCGATGCTGGCCAAGCTGACCGATGCGGTGCCGTCGACCCCGTCCACAGGACGCGTTGTCCGTCCCGGGGACTTCCCCGACCGACATTGGCCCGCCACGCTTAGGCCACTCTGTCTCTCTCGCACCCGAACGGAAGGGCCCGTGAGTGCGACGGAGACAGAGCGACGAAACGAGCCGGCGGAATCGGTCTGGATCGGATTCACTCCCGGATCGCGGTCCGGATTGGGCCGAAAGGACGCGTCCTCACAGACCGTCACAGGCCGCCCGGACACGGACCGACGCGCAGCGCGCGCAGCGGACGGCCGCACTCGCCGATCGGGAGGGAAGTCCTGTCGTGAAACACCAAGTACTTCCGGGATGACCGAAACTGTCCTGGAATTGGGCCTTATGAGCGGCTGTCTATCTCGCACCCCGGGCGGCACGCCTCGTGAGTGCGAGAAAGACAGAGCACTAGACGAATGCACTGCAGCAGCGCTGGGCTGCGATTATTCCCGCGGATCGTTTAATCGGTCGCTCGACGTTGGTGCCGGTGGGGCCGAAGAGTGTCGGAGAGCAGCAAAAGACACTTAAACTAGAAGGAGAAGGCGGTGGCAGGCGAGGCGGAGGCGCGAGAGGCGTGCCGAGTCGCCAAGGCCGCTCCGCTCCGCTAGGCTCCGCTTGGCTCGGATCCTCGTGGCTCGGAATGCAATGCAGCGATCACTGTGAAACAACACACACTTGCAGCTCGCGTGCGTGTAGCGTGCGTGCGGCGTGCGTGCGGCGCGCGTGTGGCGCCTTGTTTTTGTTGACGGCGCGCGCGCGGCCGCGCTTGGCGTGTGGAGCGCGTTTGGAAACCATTTGCAATTAGCGGGCGACCGCGCGGCCCGGGCAGGACCCGCTTGCCGAAACGGCCGAAACACTGAAACAACCTGAGGCTGAGGCACATTTGGCGGTCGACGTCCACCCGGTGGCAATCTCATCAGGGAGTCGCGTTCCGTCTGCGTCCAGTTTCAAGGGCAGCCTCCGGTCGTTGCGTCTTTATCGGGTCCTAGCTACGCCTAGCTGGGATCTTGGAGCCGGCGCCGCTGGAGCGGTCCTGGAGATTTTGGAGCGTGGGGGGGGAGGGCTGGAAAACACCGCGCGGCCCGGCCGGTGGCAGAGGCTGGAGTGACTGGAGGAGCGGGGGGACGCGGGGGAATTCCCTCCGAAATGCAAAGGACGCCGCTGGAGCGCTGCTGGAGCGCTGCTGGAGCGCTGCTGGAGCGCGGCGTGCGTCAGGGAAGCGAACGGCCCGGGGGGAGAGGGGCCCTGCCCGCCCCGCCCCGCCTCGCCCCGCCTCGCCCCGCCTTGCCCCGCCCCGCCTCGCCCCGCCTCGCCCCGCCTTGCCCCGCCCCGCCTCGCCCCGCCTCGCCCCGCCCCGTCTCGCCACGCCGCGCCACGCCGCGCCTTCCCGCGTGGTCGAGCTCCCCGTCGAGGTACCCGTCCTGGTCACTCCAGCCGGGTGCGATGTGCGAGCTGCACTCCAGCAGTGTCTCCAGAAGTGCAAACAGTGCGTGTTGGCACTCGAACCAGGATCAGTGCGGATTAAGGACTTACAGCCAGCTCAGCTAGAATGTGAGTAACGATGCCTAATGCCCGCCGGCTCAAGATTTCCAAAGCGTGTCGCGTTGGGTATCAAATTTTTTTTCGGACCGATTCAAAATTATTTAACCACAAAATAAATACAAAAATAATTGAATTAAAAAATCACGGACGCTTCGCAATGAGCGCAGCTCTGAAAAAAAAATCCAAACAAAATAATTGAGGGAATTTCAACGCCAGTCACGGAGGTCGGGGTCCTCCTACGCCCGCGCGGCCAAGCTGCCGTCTGCCGAGCTAGACGGGCTTCAATGTGTGTCCAGCCCAGCCCTTTGGCATAACGGCTCGGAAAATTACTCATGCCTCGTTTTGGGTATTTACATAGGATAGCCTCCCACAAGACCTTGCGGTAGTTCGATTTCCAGCAGCGTGTACGATATTTTTATTTAAAATTAAAGCATCAGTCTATTTTTTTTTCGACTTGCGGCGTATTGACCGCGACCCCATTCAATATGTACAACCTTCTCCCCATGACAACGGTCCGACTGGCGGTCGGCCTGCAGGGTGAGGGGGAGGTCCTGTCGGTCTGTCTCTTCTATCTCCTTCCCACCCATAAGGTACGCCCCATGAGTGCGAGAGAGAGGCCCCTCACTCGGAATCGGCCTGTTGTCGGCCAAAGGGCAAGTTAGGAAGGAAGGCGCCGTGCGCGACGGCGAGGCGACCCCGGCCGGCCGAACAGACGGACAGCGGGTCTCACTTCATTTCTGTTACGATTACGATTTAAGCACTGTGGGCCGCCATACAAGACCTAAACGGCCTGGCCGACCGGCGGCCCCTCGGCCACCACGCTTCCCTCCCGCGGCCCGCGGCTCGCGTGGCGCGTGCTAAAGCCTCTTTTGGCGGCGGCCCAAAACACCTCGGACACGACGAGCAGACGACTCACGACTGGCTGCTGGTGCCGCTGGGATCGGCCCGGAAGAGCCTCCCAGGCGGTGTCCCCAGCACGCCCGCCCTTGACCCAGTCCGGTCCCTGGTTCAAATACTGTGCGACTACTTATTCCCGGCGGCATACTCGAAAGTCGCAACGCGGTAGCTCAACCGCGGATCCTAAGGAGGCGCAAAAGGACAATACCCCCGCCCCTTCCCCTTTCCCATCCAGACCCCCTAGCTAGTTGCCTGAAAGGTTGGCAAAAAGTACTGCTCCCACTCCTTTTCAGACCGCATCTGAATCCACCGCGGCGGCGCTAGCTGCATGTGTTTTGGATGACGGTGTTGCTCGCGAGACGCGCGGTACAAGGCAACCGCCGCCGTTCCCGCGGTGCGGCGGAACGGCCCGCGAGGCGAGGACATGCGTGATGAGCTTTGCCTGTGCTTTGCCAGGCTGCTCGGGCTGGCGGCTTGGCGGGCTTGGCCATGCCCATGCCGCTCCTCGGGGTTCCCTCTGGTTCCCTCGCCACTTTGCCACGGAGACTGCCGCCATTATTGTCGCGTCCGTCTCGTCCGTCTCGTCCGACTGCGGCTGCACTGCAAGGCCGAAGACTCGCCGAAGAGGCTGCGGGACTGGGACCTTCAGGCTGCCGGCTCGCTGCCGGCCCGTCGGGGCGCCCGGCGACGCCAAGCCAGCCGAGAGACGCCCCGCCGCCGGGAGCGACGTGGAGCGACGCCGCCGGCTCCGGCCTGGCCAGTCGTAGCCCTGGGGGCCGCCTGAGGGCCGGCCGGCACCGGCGGCGCGATGAGGCGGGGAGATTTATGCCTGGAAGACGCAGGACGCCTCCGGGAAGGGAGCGACCAGGCCCAGCCGGGCCAAGGCCCTGGAGTGCTGGCGTGGCGGACTTCACGGCCGCGCCGGCCGGAGAGCGGATCGCTGGGAACCGCCACTCTGAAACCGAAACGACACGCGGTGGCGGCGGCGGCGCACACACTGTAGATCATGCCCATGCCCATGTCCATGCCCAGCGAGTGCAAAGCCCTCTGCGGGCCTTGGCATTTCGCCAGGGCGGCGCCGAGCCACTGGCGTGCCTAGCCGCTTATTGACGTCATGGTGGTCATCACGCCGCTGCAGGCTGACTGTCGCCCCGTCTCTCTCGCACCCCTCCGGCACACTCGATGAGTGGAAGAGGGACAGAGCGACGGCGGCACTGATCGGAAGCAGCCCGCCGGCCTTAGGGTCGCATGTGACACGAAAGGAATTCGACCTGGGTCTTGGAGCGCCGGTCGGCAGGCATGGTCCCGGAGTCCGAAGGGCTCTGCCCTCGGCTCTGCCCCGTGCCGCGCGGAAGCTGGCCACAGCTGCACGTACAGCTTGACAGCTGCTTGTTGTTGACGCGGGAAGGAGCTTGGCGGGGCGTGGCGGGGCGTGGCTGCACTTGCTACATTGACGTCATACGCTGCAGCAGCCTGCACTCCGGCTACTCCAGCACGCCCCGGCGCTCCAGCCTTCTCCAGCGTGGATGCGTGGTGACGCAGGCGTCTGCCCTGCCCTTGCCCCAGGTCTGCGCGGAACGGCAGAGCAACAAAAACAAACTCCAGAACTCGAACCCAGGAGTTAGTCTAAAAGTGAAGGTATCATCAGCTAAAAACAAAATTTTGAAGCGAAAATAACATTTAAATTTTGGCTGCCTGCAAGGCAAGGGGTAACATGCTCGCTCCTCGTCCTTGTCTTTGTCGCACGCCTTATCCAGCGCGGCAGGTGTAGCGCTGACTTCGGTCACGTTCCCCACACCGGCAGGACGGCCGGACGGCCACGAGCTTCGAGGTGAGGAGAGGAGCGTGCCCTGCCGCCGCTGCGGCCGCGGCCCTAGCGCGCCGACCGACGGTGTTTACAAAACGGTTCCTTCATGCTTGATCGACTCAAAGAGCAAGGAAACCGACACAACAACAACATCGCGGCTCTCACTCGCACTCACTCACACGCCCAGCCGAACGCGTCTCTGCTCCGTCCGGCCGTGAAACAGGTGCCGTTGCTGATGGGGCCCACGTGTTACGTAACGGCGTCCGTTGACCCGGCCCCGGCCGGCGCCGCCCGGCTTCGGGACCCCGAACAGTGTGCAGTGCAGGGGCACGACGGCAAGGCGATAAGGAGGTGGAGTTCCTAGTTCGCCGAGTGTGCGTGTAATCCGGGGCGGCGATCTGTACTGTCTGCTGTTGCCTTGTGTTTGTCTTGTCCACGGCCGGACAGGACGGACAGGACTTGGGCCGTGAGTGGCGGCCGAGGCGGGCAAGGCGGCAAGGCCACCCCGGGCCCCGCCAGTGCACCGTCCCGGAGGTGCCGGCGGTCCGAGCCAAAACACAGCCAAGGCACACTTATGCGTCAGTAATAGCAGGCAACGCCCCGGCCGGCGCCCCGGACCCGGACCCGGCATGGCTCCAGGGCCAGGGTCGGCCGGAAAAAAAAATAACACCTCTCCGAATCGGGCGGCCCACTTCCTTGCTTCTATAAATAAAAGTAAAGTGTTTTGGCGGAGCAGCGAGACGTATCGCGAATAGGGGATGAGTGTGACCGAGCGAGCGCCTGTGGTCGGCAGGGTAGGCAGCCCCGCGGCGCAGGGCGCAGCCGCGTGTTGCGGGCGGGCATCGCGGCGCTCGCAGGCGGCACGGCTTGCAACCACGCCGACTCAGAACAGCGCTTTCGTCGCTCTGTCTCTCTCGCACTCATGGGGTGCTCCGTAGGGAGCGAGAGCCCTCCCCCTTCTCCCCTCATTAATCCGTGCGACAGGTGCCAGGCAGGCCAGGCAGGCAGTGTGACACGTGCTGATTGCGCGCGGCTGCGTCGCGGTGGCGGCCCGGTCGAAATGTTCGGGGGGGCGCTCTCGACGACGAGGACGGCGAGCACGGCCTGCTGCAGCGAGGTCGATGCCTCGGCCCGGCCCGCAACCGGTTCAGCCCGTAAACGGGTTAAAGCGGGTACCCGGCCGTAGAGACACACTCCCCGGCGGCCTTACCTGCCTCACCGGCGGCGCGTTGCAGCACGGCCTGGGTGGCGCCCGGCGTGGCGGAGTGGCGGAGGCCTCCAGGTGCTGATCATAGTTTTGTGCGCGACTTGTTTGGTCGATCTATTCTTATTGGAATGGCGCCTGCCCCCTCACCGGGCGAGAGGGGGAGAGGGGGGAGGCGCGGCCGACCTGACACTGCGGACGCCCGCCGCGCCCGCCGCGCCCCGCGGGGCCGACAGGCCGAGCCACCACCCCCAATCTGCTCGCCGTCAAAACCAAACGACGCTTCCGTGTCCGGCACTCCTTTTTCGCCGAGAAGCAAGCGTTCGGGGCTAGGCGAGGTCTTTCCAAAACGGCACACAAATGCCCTAACCGCCGTCCTGCTGTGGACACTCGGGCTCGGCCTTGCCTAGGCCGGCATGCCCAGCTCCCTTGTGCTCGACATCGACCTACGAGAGCTGCTTTTTGAGTGGGCTGTACACTGTACACCCGGCACCGGTACGAAGCGCAGCGCTCCGTGCTCCGCGAGCCAATTCGACGCCCGGCCGGCTGTCCGGCAGTAGGCTTATTCCGAAAGTCGTTTACGTCGCTCTGTCTCTCTCGCAACTATACGGGACGCCGCATGAGTGCGAGAGAGACAGAAAACGACTCTCGGAATCGGTCCGCTGGCCGTGAAAAGCGGCGCGGGCACAGTGACCCCGTGACCACCGCGAAAATGACGCTGGCCCGCGAGTGACAACAACTCCCCCCCCCCCCCCACTTCCTCCCACTCAAGCCGTTCGAACCGTGCGGCTCACGATATACGACACGTGACGGCAAGCACGACGCCGTGCACGTGGACGGAAACTTTGTCCGGTGGCCGCGGCCGTCGATGGGCTTCACTTCACGGTTTCGCCCAATCCGCCTCCGCGCCTCCGCGGCCCCAGCCGAACTGAGAGGAACACCGGCCGGCCTTTTTATTGCTGTCTGATTGTCAAGTCGTGATGACTCGCCGGCCGCGCTGGCCGTGAGGCCTATTCCGAGAACCGCATGCATCTTTCACGATTCAGGTTTGAGTTTGTCGTCCCGTCCAGCCTAGCCCGGCCCAGCCCGGCCTGGTGATAGCACTCCAGCATTCCAGCAGTGCCGAGGCCGAGTCGCGTGACCCTGAGCGAGGCGAGCGACGATGGAGGAGGCGATCAATGGAGGCTCCGGTGAATCACGCGACCGACGCCCGGGACGCCGGGACACCCCGGACGCCGGGGAAGCACTGCCTCGAGTGCTCAGCGACATCTTGTCCGGGAGACGCTGCGGCACGCCCCACAGTGGGCTAGAAGACTGGTGGAGGGGTTTCGGTTTTCAGGGTCGCGAAATTGGACTCGAACCGAACCCACCATTGGATTGCTCTCCGAACGAGGAATCTATTGATGGGGTCACACGTTCGGTTCTAGTTTCGTTTAGCGACTCTGGAAGCTCAAAACGCGACTAGAGTTTTGGCCGTCTTCTCGCCCACTGTGCCCCGCCCCGCGCGCGCCCCTAGCGACAGCACTGGAAGGCAGCCGTGCGGCGGAACGTCTGCACTTTTCGCGGCGACGCATCTTACCTAACGCGTCGATCAATCACACTCCAGTCAGGCGGTGGTTAAAGAAGCGCCTGATAAGTGTCCGGTTTGAAGAGTTTCATGACGGCGGCAAGGTGATTCGGACGCGCGCACACATACACGCCTATACACGCACACACACTCACGCACGAAAACACTAAGTACTGACTCACACACACACGAAGCCAAACAAGTCACACGCAGCTCCGGTCTGCCCTTGGCCCACCCAGTCGAATCCGACGGATTTAGACCGCCAGCCTCGCTCGCACTAATTTTGTCGCACGCATGCAATTACTTTGGCAGTCTTCGTCTCTGCATGTTCATTATTCCGAAACGAAACGGCGGCTGCCGAGCAATCTTATTTATTCAGGTTCTCACGAAATGTGTTGGAAACGGCGGTCCGCGCTCCGCCCGCGCGTCACGCCGAAGGGGGTTTTAAAAGACCGCCATTACTCCGACTAATAAGACGACCTGGCGGGAGGCCCGGCGGATGGGGTTCCTGGTGACGTCACGAGAGGCTGCGGGTCTTCTCCGTGGCCAATCAAAACTTGGACGGCGCCCATCGCGCTGCCGCGCGGCCGGGCCGGACCGGGCCCTTGTGTGGGCAAACCCGGAGAGTCTTTGTTGGCCGGCTGGTTGTCGGACAAGCGTTCCATTGTGCGACAGCGCCGCGCCGTGCCGTGCCGTGCCGCGCCGTGCCGTGCCGCGCCGGTGGCCGGCCGGGCCGCTCTCCTCTCACCGCTCGCCGCGCGTGACGTCCACGACGTCCGCCGGGGGAGGCCGAGCCGCCCGCTGAGCCACCCGCCGCCCGCCGCGCCCGCCCGCCAGCTGGACAAGTGCGTCAGTTCTTATTGGTGTGGTGCCTGGTGGTGTCCGCCAGCTTCGCCAGCTCATCGAGCCCGTCCCCGTCCTCGCGGCCGAGGGCGTGGCGGCGTGGCGGGAAGAACCGGGGCGCGGGCCGCTGGACTTCCCCGCTGCTGCTGCTTCCCCCCGACAAGACCCTCTCCACGCTCTACTTTCACAGAGCGCTCTCGCTCCTCAGATTTTCGCGGCAAAATTCAAATGAGATGTGGCATGCCGCGGTCGTTGTAACCGCAGCACTAATGCTGTGAAAAAATACTGAGAAAAAATAAAAATAGAATCTACGAAAATGGATAAATTTTCCCGAAGAAAATGCAGAGTGGTCCGGCCACCCCTCCGGCTGTCTCCATGCAGTCCTGGAGCGCCGGCGTCGCCTCGCCGCGAAACCAGACACCGCGGTGGCGGCAATGGATCTGCAATTCTGCAGCGGCGACCCGAACCGGTTCCCTGCACCAAATTAAAATGGATATCGGTGTGCAAATGCGGCAGATGTGGGTCGTTTGGATCGCGCCCAAAAGTCCGCGTGGCCCGCGGGCGCGCGTGCGTGCGGTCGTCCGGAACGCCCGGTCCTTCCCTCGGCCGCTCGGCCCGGGTGTGCTGTACCGGCTAGAGGCGCCGCCGCGACGACGGCGACGCGAATAGAACGCGGCATCGCGGCGGACGGACTGGAGCGCTATTTTTAGATCACGTGTTACTGCGGATGCTCCGCGGGGAATTCAATCCGATTCAGATTCGGGCGTAACTCCCGTTGGAGGGAATTCCCGCCGGCCGACCGGGGCTTCGGCTTTCGGCTCCCATCCCGCTCTCGCTTTCGGCTCGGCCCTCTCGGTGCGCGATGCCGCGATGCGGCGCTTCGGGAGAGATAATGGCGGTTCGGCGTCGCTCCGGCTGCTGTCAGTCTCCTGGCCGCGGCCCACGTCATCGTGGAGCCCCGGCAGTCTACGGCAGCCCGAGGCAGGGGAGGGGCGACGGGCGGCGGGGTAGAACCACGGTAGAACCCAGGGCAGCGCGTCATCGCCATCCTCCGGCCGGGCGGCACCACGGCGGCGCGGCCCCGCCTGGCTCCGCCCCTGCTGCGGTCCGGACCGTCCGGACTGCCGGCTCTTGCCACCTCCAAGTATATTATACTTGTCCCGGCGCCGGGGCTCCTCAGTCTACCGCATCCACTCGCACGAATCATTCGGCCGCGGCACCCGGCCCGGACACGTGCGCACGCGGACACGCCGGGCTCGGCTGGCAACAGTGCAACAGTGTACTCCGTGCAATAGTGCACTGCAGTGCAGTGCAGTGAAGTGAGGTGCCGCAAGCAGTAGTGATAACCTTACCGGTGCGGACCGGCAGGATGGGTCGGAATACCGAAAATAGGTGGTGAGTGTCATTTTTTCGCGCAAAAAAGTGGACACCTGATTAAGGGGGCGACTATTCAAGCGTATTATTGTGTTCACGTCGCTGTTGTGAAAATCAAAGCAGCTCATCGAGAATAAGATGTCAATTCAAATTGTGTTCTCGCGCCGCAGGAGGACGCCGAGGTGGTCGTCGTCGTCCCTGGCGCTGCTGGCGGCGCTGGCGGCGCTGGCGGTGCTGCAGGGGGTGAGGGCCGTGCCACAGCAGGTGCCGCTGGGCTCGCACCCTTGTTCGCGGCCGTGCGCGCCGGGCCGCACCATGACGTGCCGCTACGACTTCCACGTGGAGAACTACCACTCCATGAGCAAGGCGTGCTACAGCTGCCCCTGGAACGCCACCGACTGCGCGCGCCCGGACTGCATCGCGGCGGACGGCGCCTCGCGCGCCCTCGTCGTCGTGAACCGCATGCTGCCGGGCCCCAGTCTCCAGGTAGGCGTCGGCGGATGCTGTCCCACACGCCGATTCTGCTCCTTTGCACTGTTGTTCTGAAATTCTTTGCCACCCCGTCCAGGTGTGCCTCGGGGACCGGCTGGAGGTGACGGTGCACAACCACATGCCGGAGCAGAGCACGTCGGTGCACTGGCACGGCCTGCAGCAGCACGGCACCCCCTACATGGACGGCGTGCCCTTCGTGACGCAGTGCCCCGTGCAGCCGCACTCCGCCTTCCGGTACTCCTTCCGCGCCGACAACGCGGGCACGCACTTCTGGCACTCGCACACCGGTCAGTGAAAAAGTTCCAACTCCGGGATTCGAACCCAGGAGAACATGACGGCACGACTAACGGGGCGCGTTTTCGTTTCCCAGGCTGCCAGCGCGCTGACGGCGCCCTGGGCATGCTGACGGTCAGAGTGCCCAAGGTGGAGGACCCCCACGGCCCGCTGTACGACGAGGACCTCCCCGAGCACGGCATCCTGGTGTGGGATTGGACGCACACCCCCGCCGCCTCCAAGTTCCTGGCGCACCACCACGCCGGCGACGACAACAAGGCCGACTCCGTGCTCATCAACGGGAAGGGTGCGGCGCGCCGCTTCCCTTCCCCCGACGGCAGCCCCGTCCTCACCCCCCGGGAGGTCTTCACCGTCACCAAGGTGAGGAAGCGGATCTCGGTGTCAGTGAACCAACGTCCTGTTTGGATTTCGTAAAAGCATGGAGGAGGAACAGATGATCATGACAGCGAAGATACTGCACCACTTTTACGACAACCCGCAAAAACTTGCGACAACCTGACTTTTTCCCCCTTTTTGGCCTCGTTATGTGTTGTACTGAATTCACATAAATCTCTCCGTCCTGTTTCGCAGGGTCTGCGTTACCGGTTCCGCCTGATCAACGCCGGCTTCCTCAACTGCCCCCTGGAGCTGTCCATCGACAACCACACTCTGCTGGTGGTCGCCAGCGACGGCGCGGACGTTAAACCCGTGCGAGGTACGTAATAACGCCGAACGGCGACACGGAATAACGCTTTGCGATTGTCTGAGGCCAAATCGCTATCCTCACGCTTTTTTGTCGTTCCCCGACTTGTCGCGCGACTTTCACGAGCAGCTCTGGGTGACCAGAACAGGTCGAGATAAGCACGTTTTTTTACCCGCCACCCGCTTCCCGAATCCTGAACAATTCACCGTCGCAAACTCCTCGGGATAAATCACCCCTTTCCCTTCCCCGACAGTGGACTCGCTGGTGAGCTACGCCGGCGAACGCTGGGACGTGGTGGTGGAGGCCGACCAGCCCGTGGCCAACTACTGGCTGCGCATGCACGGGCTGCTGGACTGCGGGCCCCGCCGCGCGCACGAGGCCGCCGTCCTGCGCTACGCGGGCGCCGACCCCAACACCGAGCCCGCGGGGCCGCCGCCGAGCTACGACGTGCACTCGGGGACGACGGGCCGCACGGGGCTGCAGGTGAACCCGCTGAACCGAGGCTCCGCCGACCCCAACACCATCACCGCCGCCGAGCTGCAGGCCCTCCCCGAAGCGACGCAGCTCTCGGACCCCGCGCTCAAGCCAGAGGCCGACGTGCAGCTGTTCGTGTCGTACGACTTCTACGCTGTGGACAACCCTCACATCCACCGCGCCGGCCTGTACGGTATCTCGCAAGGTGGGTACACTGTAAATCCCTTGGATCCCTTGAAATCCTGCCGCGACAGCGCTAACGCATCGAACGCTTCGCCCGCAGTGCCCAGCTCTCCGCACCGCGTGTTCACGCCGCAGCTCAACCACATCTCGCTCAGCCTGCCCGCCTTCCCGCTGCTGCCGGGCCGCGACCGCCTGGACGCGCCCAGGACGCCGACGTCGCCGCAGCTCTGCAATGAGACGTCGCTGGCCGCGCAGGGCCGAGACTGCACCAAGGAGTACTGCGAGTGCACGCATGTGGTGCGCGTGCCGCTGGGCGGCGTGCTGGAGATCGTGCTTGTCGACCAAGGTAAGTCGCCGACCGCCACTTGGGCGAGGGAGGAGGCCCTCCTTGACGTCCTGGACCCTCTGTAACACTGTAAATGTTGCAGGCGTCCGCTACGACGCCAACCACCCGTTCCACCTGCACGGCCACGCGTTTCGCGTCGTGGCGCTGGAGCGCCTGGGCAGCAGCATCAACGTCAGCGAGGTGCAGCGGCTGGACGCCGAGGGCCGCATTCCCCGGAACCTGCGCGACCCGCCTGCCAAGGACACCGTCACCGTGCCCGACGGCGGCTACACCGTGCTGCGCGTGCACGCCGACAATCCCGGTAAGCAGGGACTCGGATCGGGAAGGCGGGGGCCCCCGACAGAGCGGCGGTAGGCCGCCTGCGGGCAGGGCTGTGCCTTTGGTTGCCTACCCCCGGCCGCTCAGGCGCTTCGCGGTGGACCGCCCGGACTCGTGCTGACTGCCTCTGACTGCGCTGCTTGCAGGTTACTGGTTGTTCCACTGCCACATCGAGTTCCACGTCGAGCTGGGCATGGCGCTGGTCGTCAAGGTGGGCGAGCACGAGGACATGCCTCCCGTCCCCAAGGGCTTCCCGCAGTGCGGCGACTGGAGCAACAACAACTGGCTTGGCGATGCCGACAAGGACGTGGACGTTGACGAGGTCCTCGACGCGGCACTAGGGGACAAGCCGGTGGTCGGCAACCACATCGGCCGGGACCTGGGGGCGCTGCAAGGGGCGCTGACGTTCGGAGACAAGGCAGGGCCGCCTCCCGCGCCATTGCCGTCGTCCACGCCGAGGACCACCACCTCCACAACAGCCGCCACGACAGCCGCCACGACACCGACGACCACCATGCAACCAAGGGCCACGGAGGCGACTGAGGCCACCGAGGCGACCGACATCGCCGAGACCATGATGTCCACGCCTAGCTACAAAGAAGACAGCACCGAGGTCGCCGACGCGGACGACACCACCGAGCTGCTGCTGGTGCATGGAGCGGACGGCACCCTGGCCGACGACGCGAGTCGGTACGGGGTCTTGGAGGAGGATGCAGTGGACAGCACGACTGAGGTGGCCTCCGCGGACGAGGCTTCCGCCACCGAGGCGCCGACCGGCGCGAGGCACGTGAGCGAGTTTATAATGCGCGTGTCTTCGTCGTCGCGGCGCGTCGCCCAGTCCGAGGCCGTGTCCGTCAGCCACGAGCGCTGGGACATCTCGGACCCGGCGCGGCCGGACCTTCAGTACAACGTTCTGGAGACACCCTCACAGGCCCCACGCCAGGTGGCGGCGCTGACGGCGAGCTCTCCCCGCGAGGCCCGCGCGCCCCGCGACCACGCCTACGCCCTCGCGGGGCGCGGGCCGGTCTCGTGGACGCCCCTTGTTGCGACGCTCGTTTGCCTCGTCCTGGCGCTATAGAAGAACAAGACCCGCGCGGCTTCTTACTGCGTCGTGAAACTTCATGCGATTTCGCACTACCTTGTTAGTAATTTTCTCTGAGTGTAAATATTTCAAAGTCGAACTGGCCGGTGAAACCGGTCGTCCTTTTCCCCTAGTAAGAAGGCGCAATTTTGCACCGTCCTTGCTAACTGGGCTCCTCCTGTGATATGCGACGCCGAACGAGTTCGGATTCCAAAGACATTCTAAGTTTAGTTAGAAGTAGTTAGGAAAAAGCAATTTGTATATACTGTGTTATTTAAAGTCTGTTATATTTTTTTAACTGCTGTGGACGTCCGACCAACGATGTACCAATCGTGTACCTGTAAATTATAATTTTTATGTGCACCTATGAGTTAAGACAACTGACTGTGATTTTACGAAATGAACGTACTGGGTATGAATTAAATAAGAGCATCTCAAAAAATTGTTGGTTTCTGGTTTTTTGAATATGTACCTCATCCTCACTAATATTTGGTACGGTTTCATCAATTTACACCTGCAGGTGTAATCGTAATCAAGGCCTCTCGTCCTTTTTTCATGTTCTTTTCTCCCTTCCCGGCTGTCCCCTCATCGACTAGCTGCTACACCCCCTCAAAGCTCGGCCGGGGTGGGAAAGGGAAAGGGAAAAGGGGGGGGGGGGGCGCCGACCTGCGCCGACCCAACAAACCCAACGGGCCCGCTTCTGCTTGTGCTTCTGCTAGTGACGTCACGTCACAATCGTGTTTTCTGTATCAGTAGCAGGCGAGAGGAGCAGAAAGGCACCACGCGGGTATCCGCCCCCTCGAACGGGTTAAAGGCTCCCGCGCGTACCGCACCGCGTTGAATGAACCCTAGCATAATGTCAACTCTACTGTTTTGAGCGGCCCGTGTTACGAGACCCTGTCTCAAAATCCCCTTGTAAGTATATGGGCGCCTACTGTCGGGAACGGATGTTCTTGCGTGAACTTTCCTCTTAAAACTAGTTTTTGATTGTTGACACGGAGCGCTAGAAAGGGTTTCTTTATCCTTGTGGATTCTTTAAAAAAGATACATGTACCCTATAATATTTTGGTTTTCCGAGTATAACCTAAGTTCAAGATGTTGACACTAACCTCCGACTTTTTGGCAGAAATACTGTCTGGTTAGAAAAGCAATATCACGTGACCTATGTGCACGTCCTTGCGTCCATTTGTTATAAACATTTGACAAGTTTCATGTGATTCATATCGGATGGGGGCTGGAATGAACTTTCCTCAATAATGTAAATAAAGGCAGTTTCCACTTCAACACAGGTGTAAAGTCTTCCAGAGTTCTTTGATAGCTCACTGAACTCTTGTCAGGATTTCCTGTTAGTTTCTGAAGCTATCAGTATCACTCAGGATTATCTGATAAGTGGCTATCTGATAATATTATCACAATCGCCTGGAAGGTACTGTCGCTTTGAAGTGCCATCAGCGGGTTATCTGATGGCAATATCAAGATTGCTAGAAAGGTTTTGCTGCCAGTGCTATTGCTATCAGTGGATTGTCTGATACCCCATAGCTTATTTTAATGCAACTGAATCGATCATCATGACATTTTTGTGCTGTTACTCCCAAAGCTGTGTCATGTTTGTCAAAGATTTTAACCAAAGTTTGTGTCTGTATCAGTTTCAGGCATGTCTCTTCAGCCATGGATGAGAGCACCAGCTTGCAAATTTTTGATTTGCTTAGGGGTGCTCCTTGTTGGATTACAGTACATGTTCAGTGGAACATTTCACACTTACCGCCATGAGACGCTGTTTTATATCCATGGAGGTGCTCACCCGAGCCATTCATTAAGCTGGCACAATGCAATGCGAAACAATGCCACCAATTCATCAACAGCAGCTCTCTTACTGATGAATCTCACAGCAAACACTGCTGTTTCTACTGCTGAGACGCTTATTTTGCATAGTATAGCTGACAATCTCAATATAACAAACAAGAATGGATCTGAATTCAAGAACTTGACCACAAGTCAGCTTTCACTCTGTCCATTGGTTCCAACTGATCTCAGAGGACCTGTAGGAATCAGTGATGTTGCACACACCATGGACCAATTAGAACTTTTGTTTGACAATCTAGAACCTGGAGGGCATTATACTCCCCAGAGCTGCAAAGCTCGAAGCAGAGTTGCTCTTATCATACCATACAGAGATAGACCGTCTCAACTCAACGCTTTTCTGTATCACATGCACCCATTCCTTCAAAAACAACAGTTAGAATATGGAATCATTATTGTGGAACAAGCAGGTAAGTTATATGTGATTACTGTACTGTCTTTCTATTTTCTCTTTTACTAATTTTCCAGACATCAATTTGGTGAATTGTTTTGTTTGATTGTTCCTCAGGTTATGGCCCTTTCAACCGTGCTATGCTCATGAATATTGGATTTGTAGAGGCTCAAAAGCTTCATGAGTACGATTGCTTCATTTTCCATGATGTGGATCTCCTGCCAGAGGATGATCGCAACCTGTACACCTGTCCTGAGCAGCCCCGCCACATGTCTGTTGCTGTCAGCACACTCAAATACAAGTAATTCATTTGTTCCATTTTATATAATTTATTTTAATTTAATATTTAGTTTTAAAAGAATAACCAAAAACATTTGAAACAGGTTGCCTTACAAGGACATTTTTGGTGGAGTTAGTGCTCTCACATTGGATCAATTCAAAACTGTGAATGGATTCAGTAACAAATTTTGGGGTTGGGGTGGAGAGGATGATGATATGGCAAACCGCCTTAAATATCATGACTATCATATTTCTCGATATCCAGCTAATATTGCTCGCTATAAGATGCTTCCACATAGGCGGCAGCCAGCTAATCCCAAAAGGTACCATTACCATTTTTTTATGCTAACACACTTTTTTATAATAACATTGCACTGCTAGCATTTCTAATCAATCTTTTTTTTTTTTACAGGCATGAGTTTTTATACAACGGAAATAAACGATTTAATACAGATGGACTGAACAACCTACAGTATCAACGTCAAGAACTGAAGTTGAATAAGCTTTACACTTGGGTTCTAGTAGAAATATCAGAGTCCAGGTGATGGGGTCAGCTTGCCTCACTTGCGTGGTGGGGCAAGCGATAAGGGGAATTATTTCAAGTGTTTGCAACACTTCAGAAGTACCATTTTTGTTTGAAGTTTAATGGCCCACGAGAAGAAAATCAGATTACAGTCATTATTTGTGATATTCTATCATCTGTGTTATATTCTTATGCTGTTGGAGTACATTAGAAAATAATGGACCTTGAAAACTTCACATCTCTCTGCAATAGATGACTATGTTCCAATGGTTTGACTTAGTGGAAAATGAGAATAAGATTGCGGGCTCTCAGGAAATAATCTGTATGTTCTCATGGTACCGGTACTTAAATATTTAAGATTAGCGTCCTATCTCCATGATTCTCAAGAGCAGCTTTTAAGAATTATCTGTGATAATTAGTAGTATAGGGCAATTGTCTCAAATAGAATAACACCAATTATTGGTACAGATTAAGTTAAATGAATACTCAGATAAACTGGCCTTGTTACAAACTGTGTTCTGGGTGAGGCCCATTACATGTGATACTGTTAAGTGACTTAAAACACTGTTGATTATTGCTTTTGTGAATTAATCCATCTCTGTTACTGTTACTTTAGGTTTAAAATGTGCTCAAATCTATAGAGCCAGTGGCTAGTTATATCCAGTTTTACTGATGGGACTAGGGCATGCTTAGTTGTTGCTTTAGGCTGCATGAAATGCCTATAGACAGACAAATTGTACGTAATCTTTCTGTATATTCTCTTATGCATTTGAATCTTGTTGACTTACTCATTTTTTGCCTGGACAGGTAGTTAAATTATAAGTGTATTATGTCCTGTACTATTTAGTAAGAATTAATTCATTTGATATTACTTAATTCCTTCTTCATGTGTATTGTTAAAAAAGAAAATGATGTGTTGGGCTTCAAGCGGAAGGAAAACCATAATTTGGTAACAAAATTTTGCTGTGTTTGTTAGTTACTTTAAGCTTTGTTGAATCTCCATGTTTGGTTTGTTTGGATGTGATCTTACCTTATCTTTGTCTTATTTTTGTTTGGACTGTAAGCCTATCCTGCTCTGATCCTCTCCCACCATTTTGGGTCATTCACGAAATAACTTTGTCCATTGCAGACAATTGTAGATCATCATCACTTATACTGCATAATGGTAGATCTGAAACAACTCTAGCCCTCTCCCCCCTTTTGTGCCAAATATGCTGTGTGAAGTCTCTAAGGTGAGAACATATTGATTCTAGTCTGGATATGCATTAGAATTATCCCATCCTCTCTGAGGAATTTTTACCCTTATATTTTAACTGGCTAAGATCCATGTTTGAATTTCTGAATAAACAAGATGTGACATTGTTACTCCTTTGTTATGCCATGTACTTTATGACCTTTCATATTTGGTCTGAAATTGTTAGTTTTTGTGATCTATTGGTGATGACATCCTTTATCCTATGTTTGGGATCATGTACCTATTCAGTTTTCCCTCAGTGTATCTAGTTGTATCCTTAACAAATATGTGTAATCCTTTGATACCGTATTATCAATACTCCTTGCTTCATAAGAACTGCTTGTCTTTTTGTTCTTTTTTTTTAAATTGTTTAGTTTTTGTACTTTGGGGGAAAAGATAAACTGACTGAATTTTGTTGTTTAAATCTCAAGGGGTTTTGACTTCTTTGTTTTAAATTGTTAGTTTTGTCCTCTTTACTAAGTCATTTTTTTCATCCCCCACTCCTGTTAAAATTTGTTTTGTGATCCTTTAAAATTTGTTTTTATATTTAATGACTAGTCTTTGATGCCTATTGTTATTAGTTTAATTAGCTGATTTCTCCTGTAAGCATATCACTTACTGTCCGGAAGGTGAAACATTCTTTTCCATTCAACTCCTTGAACAATCTCTATGATAATCACAATTGTTTTACTACCCTAGAATTTGAAATAGTACTTTTATGACAATATTAGGCCGGCTGTTTGGTTTGTAAATTGAGTGTGATGTGTTGTGGAAGAAACAATCGTGGTGCAAACCCCTCCACAACGTTGGACCAAGATTTCAGGAACAACACCGCCACTTAAGAACCTTTGTTGTCTTTTGTAATGTGTACACTCAAGAGCATATGCAACTCTGTGTATGCAAATTAGTTTCTGACTTGTTTACAGAATGTTAATGCTCGATTTGATGCAATACATTCCTGTTAATTTTACAATGTATTTTTTGTTCTCTTATCATAGTGGATATGTATTCATTGTCTGTCTGTACGTAACCCCTTACACATTGTCATAGACTCTTCAGTATGTTGCCATTAGGCTGCAAGTTTTTGTGAATAAAGACTTAAATAGATCTGTAACAGTTTTCACTGCATTGTGTTTCTCTAAATAGTTCATAACATTTTCCTGAATTCTTTTTGAGCATCCATAATCATCACCAATCCATCCATATATTTAGGGAAGTTCCTGGAGTTTTTGGAGGGTAACTCTGGGTAAACTCCGCGGCACCTCTGTAGCACAGTGTAACCAAACAAACAAAAGCTGTATGGGACGAAAGCAATCAAAACATTTTCTAAGCTTAGTGCTGGGGAGGCAAACCCCTTTTTGAAAACGTCAGAAATTTGCTTATTTCCTCCTACTTAGGCCTCTCGAACGTTCTCCTCGCATCTTGTAACTCTTGCAGTCGTCGATTATCTGGTTCGAAATTTGACTGTGGCAAGTCGCAAGTAAGCGGGTATTTTTATTGTTTTCACTCGGACATATGCTGCTAGTTGTTTCACAGTTCCCCTGGTAGATTTATGCAAATAATTTGAACAATATTGGATCATTTCGGCACATTTCGAACATGTCGGAAGTTGGTTGTGCTGGTCAACCTGTCTTTCCTTTTCTTTTTCCCATCTTCTTCTTCGCGTCGTCGTGCACCGTGCACCTTCTCCATTTACCAGTCTGGAACATACGAGATACGCATCAGCACTGTGTGTTTTTGTGTCAAGTCTCTTGCCTGCACGTTTTTGCGTTTGTGCGGTACTCTTCGTTTAGTTCATCATGATGGGCATGGGCGATCCCGATGACGATCCTTTCTACGGGTTAGTTAGTTACGCAACTGAATACATATTTCTGTCAGCAGGACATTTTTGTAAAGACATATTTTCCTGGCTCTTGTCTCTTCTAACTTCTTGTTCTGTATTTCGTCACTATTGCAAAAGTTGGTTTCTTTTACAGGTGCTAACTTTGCAAATATTTGATTTATATTTAGCTTTCTTTTGTGAGATACACTACTCTTATCCTAGAGGAGATCCTGACATTTTCCCTGTTTGTTTACAATTTGATTAAATTTTTTCTTTGCTCATTTTCTTAATACCTAGGTCAATGCGAACCATGGACAACATGATCAACTCCATGTTTAATGATCCATTTGGCATGATGAATGGTCTTATGGGTGGACATCGTGTGCCAGGCCATGCCCACCAACGAGTTCGTTCCAACCCCAATCAAATGACTCAATTGAGCCCAATGGGTCAAATGAACCAAATGTCACCATTTGGTGGCATGTTTGGAGGAGGCCTTTTTGGTGGAGGAATGATGGGGGGTGGTATGCTGGGGTTTCCACCTATGAATAATTTGTTTGATAATATGGTAAGGTTTTGCTGCTATTGTTTGTCAGTACATGTGCCAATCAATATATTTAGAAGTTATATTCTAATCATAATGTGATTTCCTACAGTCTTCTTTTTCAAATGATCCAAACTGCCACTCCTTCAGTAGTAGCACTGTTATGACAATGAGCAGCGGTCCAAATGGTCAACCTCAGGTATGTATTTCGTTCAGTTTACTTTCGATAAATTGTATGACTGTTGGGCATCTGTAACCGTACTGTGTTGTCCTGCTTCAGGTATATCAAGCATCATCAACCACTCGCTCAGCTCCAGGTGGTATCAAAGAAACAAAGAAAACTGTATGTGATTCTCGCAGTGGAGTGAAGAAGATGGCCATAGGGCATCACATTGGTGACAGAGCACACATTATTGAAAGGGAAAAAAATGTTTATACTGGGAAACAAGAGCAGCGGGTGGACCTTGTCAATCTTGATGAAGGTATGTGGTTCTCTAGTCCATTATAATCACAATTTATCTAATTTATGTTTGATTCCAATGATGCCCATGGTTATTCCTCCAGATGAAGCTCCTGTATTTAACCGTGAATGGGAAGAGAAGACTGGCACTGTTGGTGTTGGTGCTGTGACTTACGGGAGATCCAACGGAAGCAGATACCAGGACCAGTTAGCACTTCCTTCAACTGCACCAGTTTCTCCAAGCACAACAAGGTACTTGTATAATTCATGCATTTAAATTACTTCCCTTTAACTTTGTATTTTACCAGTCTCATGTGACATTAGGAAATCTTTGCTGAACTGTTTCTACCATCTTGGGAAAGCCTTCTCTATATCATATTACATTATGTTATATTAAAAGGTCTTGAATCAAATTGGTATAATTTAAATCAAATTAAAATATTTGTTAAATCGATTATTTAAAAAAAAAAATCTGGTAAATTTATGATAGAAAGCTTATTTGGAAATTCTTGCAGCATGTTGATGTAGTTCAGTAACATTCTGTTGTACTGTTGTCATAGTTCTTTGCGGGCAAAAGCAAGGGCTGCTGCCCGAGCAAGAAGGTCCCAACTTTCATTAGCATGTCCCTCTAGGTAAGATTTGGGTTTGAGTTTGGTTGTTTGGTGATAATTGTCCTTTAGCAAGGACTGTAACCCTGGATTATTCTCCAAAAGATATTCTATACCTTGTCATATTTTATGCATGTCCGTGTGTGTTCTGTACTCAATATTTGGTTAACAATTTTTGTGGGTTGGGAAACATGAAAGAAGCTGTCACCTTATCCTGCCTAATGTTCCCTGCAAGGTGTGTAACATCCCTGCCAAAGCTTTCTTATAATAACAATTATTTGGGAAAAACCAAGTTCCCCTTTTGAATGTGTGCTTTTGTGTGTAGCATGGTTAGATTTCATCATGCATTCTTTCTGTGGTAACTTGTAATTATTTTCAAAGTGGTTTTGGTAAAATCTGTCCCTTTGGAGGGATACCAGGGTGATGTTTGAGAAGCTCTGTTTCTTTCAGGTACTCGGGGAAATACTGATCTTCTTAAAACTTTTAGAGGTGACAGGGTCTTGCTTCCATGTAAGTACGAGTGAGGTAGCTGGCTTGTGCCATACCACTCGCACTGAAATTTAATGCTTAGGATTTCTTTCTTATATTGTAATAGCGGTCTTTGCTGTTGATCTTCCTTGAGAATGAATGCTTTGTGTTGACTGAGCTGCCTTGCTTGGCTACTCTGTAGTTGCAGTGGACTATCTCATGGATTTCGCAGACTCTGAAACCTCTTTCAGGGAACCTTTGGAGCTTTGTTAGCTACTTTAATGGCAGGTTTACTTATCTATATTAAAAGATCAGAATATATCAGCATTTTACTCCTTACTTGAGAATTGTTTAAATATAATTTAAAATAATTATGGTTGTGTCTAGAATATTAATGGTGTAATTAACTGTTATATTAACTGTAAGAATGCTGCCACTATTGTGGCACTTTGCTGTTCATTCGCAATATGCAGTTTTCTACTAACAGATGTCGGCGATCTCCAGAACAGCTAATGGAATATTTGACATCCATTTTCCCCTAAATCATGTTTTAAAGAGTATCTGCTTTTATTTTTATTTTTTCAGAGTGGAGATTACGGAGGTAACAGACGATGACGACAATGCAGATGCAACTTCTCCCAGCCAAGAGCGCAGTGCAAGCCCTATCATCGAGTATCCCTCTTCCAGCAACTCACAACCACGAAGAGAAGGTAAAGAACGTGAAAGGTATCACCCTCAAGGACGGACCCATATTCAAGAGCACCAAGAGGGTTCTCGCAAGCGGGATCTTGAAGATGACCATGAAGAAAGGCGCCGTCACCACAAGTCAAGGAAACCATATTAATTGTCATTGATGTAACTATGTGGTCTGGGTGTTATGTGAAAGAGTCCATCTCACATTCAATGCCATGAAGTGTTTTTTAAAATTATAATAACCTCCCATTCTGGTCTGTGTGCTTGCACTTTGTGTTATTTAGGGTGACTTGGCATTTTAGTATTTTACTGTGGGTCTCTTTTTCCATAAAGCCTCTGGCAAGTAGTTATCCAAAGATTATTTTATTGGTATTTCTTATCCTTTGCAGAATTTAATGACAAAGTGGTTTTTAATGTAATTCTCACAAGATCTCCTCCACTGTACATATTTTATTCCCAGTACCCAGTATAAGGCAGATTTATAGACTTATTTATCTTGAAGGGACTGAGATTCTGTTATCAATTTCCTGTAAATATTTAAACATGAAAAAGCAAACAGGTTTTCGCTACTTTGAATGAGGCATTCAACTGTGGGTCACCATGTGCATCACCTCATCAATTCTCTATTTGTGGTGGGAAATGCAACTTTATGGCAATTCCAGGGAAGGATTGTGATAATTCCCCTATAGTTAGTTATGTCATCTGTTTAAGGTAAGAAACAACAGTTCAATGTTCTGTTTTTGTGTTTACTGGTTACATCTTTGTCAAAACAATTCAAAGTGAATCTGTTAAATATGTATATGTAAGGTTTCCTTGGCTCATGTTGAGCTTTTCATTAATCTATAATTAACTTTCAATTTATGAGGAGGAAAATCTATTATCTTGCCAAGTTGTATGAAATACTCAAGAAACTTGGTTCTCCCTGTCTTGACTCGATATTATTGAAATGCTGTCATGGTTGTGGTCAATTGAAATAATGGTATGGTAGGTTTAGATAGTGCACCATCCAATGCAAGACTTTGCAGTATATTTCATGGATTACGATCTCTGGTGGGGAACTGAAGACAACTTTTTTCCTATTGTACAGTTTTCACCCGAGGCCCATTGTGTATTACATTCGTGTTAACCAAAGTTCTGTCCTAGTGTCTAGTTCGCTTGTGGCTAAGTGAAACTTTACAATTAACTTGTGGTCTCTCAGACGCAATTTTGTCTTCATGAGCATACAGCCATGATTTAACATACCATAACAAAAAAGGTGTTTCTGTAGAGACTTGTGCTTATATCTAGCAGGGATGAATGTATTGAGAGAAAAAAGAAATAAAAATTCTCACTCCTCCTTATATGTTGTTGCCTTTTTTAATCATTATTCAACATAATGTATATGACCCAATAACATGAGAAAAAACAATAGAAAGCTCACAAACAATCAAAGAACATCAATTTCAAATGGAAGCTGCTCAGTTTAATCTTGATAAGTTAACAAACTACATTTGAGGCTGTAAATTAATAGAACCAATGCTTGAAATTAAGAGTATCTCCTCTGTGCTCAACTGAATATATTTTCTACCACACCAAGTAAAATAGTTCCCAACCATACAAATAAAAAAAATAATAACCCTCAGATCTTTCTAAACAACTCTCCTTAGTTGTCTTCAGACATTTCCTCAATGCTGCTGTTGATGTCCAGGACCTGCTGCATGAAGGCCGTGTCGGCCATCACCGAGGCCACTTTGGTGAGGAGCTCCTCCAGGCCGTCGTCGTGCAGGCCGAGCTGTTGGCTGCACAGCGCCAGCGCCAGGTCTTGCTCCTCGCCGAGTTCCTGCCAAGGCAAAAGGCAACCATTAGGATAAGCCAGCAAGTGGCGACGAAGGTGCAGACAGTGCCTCGTCTTCGTCCTTACCTGGGCAGGGTCGAGCAGACTCTGGAAGGGGATCTTCACCCTTCGTTTCCGGCTGCCGGCCGCAGTGCCCTCGGTGTAGAAAATGGTGCAGGCCGGGCCGCCCTCGGCGGAGACGATCGCCAGGGGGAAGTACACGCCTGCCGTGAGCTGGCCCTTGGTGTTCCTGGCCAGGAGCGTGCGGAAGTTGTACACGATGTTCCTGCGCTCCGTCACGTCCACGGCCGACAAGTAGGCCCTCTCGATGTACACCAGGTTGACGGACAGGCTCTGGCGTTCGCCGCGCGTCTCGCGCACGGTCCACAGCACGTACTTCTCGTCGGGCGACAGCGTGTACATGTACTCGCGCCGCACGTCGGGCTCGTCCGCCTGCGTGAACCAACCTGGGGATAAGAAACGTCAGTTAGTTCAGGTGGTCGGTGTGAGTTCGATCCCAGCCAGGGGGGTTTGCTTTTTGTTCTGGTGCTTACCGGTGTGAGGGTACAGTCCGTCCGCCATGACTGTCACCACTCTGGCCACGTGGTAGCCGGGGTCCAGCAGCAGCAGGCCTCGGCGGCCGCCGATGTCCAGTCGCGCGGCCACCAGGACGTGTTCCTTCTCCGACGTCTGCGGGCTGGGCTCCTCGTTCAAGTACACGGCCGGGTTCTCGATGGCCTCCTCGCAGGACACGAGGTGCAGGGCGTCGCGAAGACTCGCCTCCGCCGCCGCTGCCGCCGCCGCTGCGCCAGCCGCCACCCCCGCGGAGGGCACGGGGACGCGCAGGCTGGCGAGCTGGCGCATCAGGGTCAGCCCCAGCCCGACGCAGGTGTGGTGCTCGTCGGTGATGGGCGGCTGGTACTCGCGGTACAGGCGACCCACGTCATGGTCGCCGAGCCCCGCGCGCTCCTCGTACGCTGAGTGGAACCTGCAACAAGGGGCTGGGTTAGTCCTGCCAGCCAGCCAGCCCGACGTCACGCACGCATATCGACCGCGATTCCCGAAAGCAGGCCAAGTACTGCCCGAACTGCGCAACCGATGTCAGGATTGATCGAACGGCTCGTCGGCCCGTCCCCCGGGAGCGGGCGGCGAGGGTTAGGCCCTAGCCCGGGCGCGGCGTATCGGATGGCATGGCGCGGGGCACGGCGAGGGTGCCGTCCCGTTCCCGTTGTTGCCCTCTGCCCTTATCCGTTCCGGCCCCCGGAGGAACCGGAAGCAATGCCACCCGGAAACACGCCGCCGACTCGGTCCCTTCGACTGCCTGGCTTCAGCCGTGCTTCAGCTTACCTGAGGAAGTTGCCCACGGTGTTGTAGTGGTGGTCGCGGAGCAGTTGTTGTGTGGTGTGCTCCACCTGCGACGCGAGCTCCTCGTAGGCCTCCACGGTGGCGACGCGCACGGCCGGCCGACCCGACCCCCGCCCCCGCCCGCGTCCGGGGCGCCCCTCATCGGGGCGTCCCGCCGTCGGGCTAGAGGGGCCCCATCCGGGGTCCCATTCCCATTCGGGGAGCGGAAGAGGGTGGCCCTGAGGCCAGCCCCCTCCCGGCTCCCCTCTCAGTGGAGAGGCATCATCGCGTGTCTTCTCGAGTCAACTCGGCCACTCGCTGCCCCATCGGCCCACCAGAGGCACGTATCCTGACTCATCCCTGTAGCTGCTGATAGGCTCTACAGGGGGCTCCGCTTTGATGAGCTTCTCCTGATCTGGAAAGGAAGAAGAAGTACAGTCAGTACAGTACAGGGAATGCCAGGCGCGCCACGCGCAACTTGTGTAAGGAGCTGCTGCCCTTGTGCCGCCCCGCCCCACCGCGCCCCGCCGCGCCCCTCCTTGGTCACGTGCCCAAGATCTAGTCGAAGGACAGGCTGACAGAGCCACGAGCCGCCCCACGTGATGTGGCCAGGCAGGCCAGGCAGGCCACTCGGCTGCTGGCCCGCCCGTCGCGGCCCGCTTTGATCTGTACAGTAGGACGCTGGAGCGCGAAGCAAAGAAGTCGACAGAAGTGGAGTACTGCGGAAAGTTCGGCGAGGCCGCATTGCGCATTGCGCATTCGGCCCGCGGCACGGCGCTCGCGCCGAGTGACGATAGGGCTTCAGTGAATCAGCCGCACCGAACGCCGAGCACGCGAAGCAACGCGAAGTGAAGCGTGAGCGTGATTCACTGGTCCGCGGAACTCTCCCCTCCCCTCCTCCTTCCCTGCGCCGTCCTTCCCCTCCGCGGAGACGCAGTGGACGGAGAAACCCGACGCGGTCCTCGACGCACTCGGCGTACACGATGACGCCGATGACGCGGGGCAGCACCACGTTGCCACATGGCTTCCCTTCCCACCAGAATTTCCCTCCAAGTTAACGGAAGGCAGGCTTGCCTTCCGCGCATCGCGCTGGCCCAAAAGAGGGAGGCCCCGCAACGCTTCGCAACGCTTCGCAACGCGTGCCGAGCAGCGCCAAGGGCCGCCAAAGGGCTGTCTCGCATCGAACACGGGAAGGCTGGCTGGAAGGGCGGGAAGGGCTTTGCCCCAGGCGGCGCCGCGGCACGCGAGGGGAGGAATGCTCTGTCCACGCGAGGGCCAAGGGCCGCGGAGGGCCGCGGAGGGCTGGCCGGGCCGGCCTCGCCGCCGGGGCCAACAGACTGATTCTGAAGCGGCTGTCTCTGTCGCACTCTCCCCCGCCCCGCACGGCCGCACGAGTGCGAGAGACAGAGTGACTGTTCGAAATGGCTTGGCGGCAGGAGGGCTTTGTCCCTTGCGGGTCAGGCAGGCAGGTCGCGGTTGGGTGTTGGTTCGCCCTGTGACTGTGGCGGGGATGGGGATCAACGAACGACACCCCGCGGCGAGCGGCGAGCGCTGTCCGCCCCGCCAATTGGGCGGCCGAAGCGGTGGAGCCTTGCCCAGCCTTGCCCTTCCACGTACACGACCACTTATCGCCTTATCGGCGCCACGGCGCGACTTGGCCGCGGACCGCGTGACGCGCGTGACAGCACGGCCACTCTGAGAATGAAAGAGTCATGACCGCCACCCAAGTAGTTGGTTCATGAAGCAAGCTTGCATCCTCCAAGTTTTGGGCCATGATGGTCTTGATGGACTCTTCCATCTCAGCGAACGCGGCAGCGCTCGGCAGCGCACGCGGTGTCGCGGTGTGTCGGCGGGGTTCGCTGGCCGCTGTCACTCCGCTGCCAAGAAGCAGAAGGGAAGTGGGAAGCCGACCCGACCGGCGAGGAAAGCACGACAATGCCGACGACGATGACACGTGGGGACCGCGTGCGCAGAAGGGGGTGGGTGGCGGCACAGCATGGCGCAGCATGGCGCAGTCACAACAAACTAGAAGTACTCACCCATACAACGATATCCACTCAACGGTGAAAAGAAAGGCCACCTAGGGAAAGCCGTGCGCTCCGAAGCGTGGTCGCGGCGCGAGTCCGTCACCAAGTGACGAGTGCGCGCACCACCGCGCCTATTTATAAACGGACGGCGTCGCCGCCGTCGGGCTGCCTGCCTGCCCGGCTGCCGCTGCTGGCTGGCTGCGCGGCTGTCCGGCTGGGGTCGGCTGTACTTGCTGGGTGGCCTGTTTAGGCCCGCGTTCGGGGCGGGGTGGCGGGGCCGGGCGGGGCCAGGCCTGGCGGGGCGGCGGACAGCTGGGCTCGGCTTCTCCTTATCCCGTGGGACGCGGCTGACGCGGCGCTGGTCCTGGTTGCCGTTCCACCTGCATGGCTGCCAGCGGCAGAGGGCCGAGGGCCGCGGAAGGGCCGGGAAGGGGCTGTGGACGCCTCGCGTCGCGCCAAGCGTCGCGCCAAGCGCTCAGCGTCTACTGGCGTGGCGGGCTGGCGGGCTGGCGGGCCTGCCGTGGACGTGGCGCCGCTTGTTGGGGCTGCGCGGGGTGTGCGCCCCCCGCCACCCCCTACCCCACATCGATTCCCGCCCCTGCCGCGCTGCCGCGTCCGCCCCCGCGCCGCCCCCTCCACTCGAGTCAACCTCATTCTCGCAACCCTCGGAGAGCACCCCGAAGTGAAACCCATGAGTAGCGCCGGCGCAGACAGCATGCACCTTTCTGTACACCCTGCCCGCCCCGCTAAATCAAAACACCGACAACAAAACATGCGCTAGGAAGCCCCGCCGCGGCAATAAGAAGCATGAAAATAAACTCCCATTACAATATGGCATGGGCAGGTGTGTTTATTTCTGCTGCGACTCCTGCATCATGATTTGTGCCAAGTGGGAGCGGTTCCAGGGCGGCTTCTTCTCGCGCGTACTGTACCACTGCACCGCCCTGGCCGCCCTGGGCCGCCCTGGGGTGCGGGGAGTGGCGCAAACCAACCCCTCCTCCCTCCCCGGCCGGTGCAGCTGTGCCCCATCCTCTGGAAGACCCCCGTCCTGGCCCCCGTCCGGGCCCCGTCCCAGCCCCCATCGTGGCCCCAGTCCTGCTGTACATCCCCCGGCACTTCACATGGGGGAATGCGGATAATCTCCGAGGGAAGTCCGACGCGGCCAGCACTGCCACGGTGGTATTGTGTGGCGGGGACTCGCATTGTGTCCGCCTGGCCGGCGGGGCGGAGTGGGGCGCCGCGCTGGAAGCTATGAGGGCTTTCAGCAGCTTTCATGACCGGGAAACCGCGAGAAAGGAAAAAACCGACAAAAACAAAGCGCGAGGCTCTGGCTGCGGTGGTGGTAGGGGAGCAGGCACTGTTTTGGTTCGTTCACGTCAGCGTGTGTTTTGCCCATCGAGTGACAGCAGGGCTGCCATGAAATTGGCTGAGAGGTCTGGTTGAGTCTGGCTTCGATAACGTCCCTTTGTTTATTGTTTTGCGGCTGCGTCCCTAGCGTGGCCCCCGCCACCCCACCCCGGCGCGCCCGGGCGCGACGTGTGCTAGGCTAAAGCCTGAAATGCTTACGTAGTTTGCGATTCGGTGATAACAGTCAGCTCGCGCGGTTGGTGGCTCTCCACGCTCTCAACGCTCTCCACTCATCGCCGTCGCGGGTTGACAGGTGTGGCAGTGACGCCCCGCCCCTTGCCCCGCCCGCTCCGCCAGCGACGGCAGTCAACCAGGATGCACTTTTTGCGATAAAAAGCGTCAGATAACGGTTTCGATGCAACAAAAACACTATCTCTCGGCGGTATTTGAACCCGAGTTCACCGCGTGATCGCGAAAACGATGACTGCAATCGCGCGGTGGTGTTATCTAGATTAATTAAGCGGGATTGTTCTGGCGCCGCTGTCGTGCTGCAGTCGGCCGGTTCGCACGGCGTCACGTCTTTTTTTCGTCGCTGCCGCTTTCGAGAATCGATTCTCTTCTTCGATTGCTGTCACTGACGTGCGCTCGCCCCCCGCCCGTCCGCCAGCGTGCAGCTGGGCATCGCAGCTGCTGATAGCAATGTCAAGGCAGCGGCGGCAGCGGGCTCGAAGTGGCGGCAAACCGCGGCAAACGGCAAACGCAGAGGCGGCGCAGCGCGCAGCGGCGACTGTACAGCCGAGAGTCGTTTCGTGACTCTGTCTCTCTCGCACCCTCGCGGAACGCCGCACGAGTGAGACAGAGACCGAGTGGCGAGACGGCGACTCTTTCGAAGTCTGCCCCCAAGAACCCAAAACAAAAGGGGCGGGGGGGCTGGGCCCCCCAAGCACGGGTGGGGCCTGGGGCCCCCCTTGCATTGCCCGCCAAATGCCCCCCCAAGGCGATTAAAATGGACCCGGAGTGTCGGGGGGCCCCAAAGGGGGAGGTGGGGGGGGGGGGCCCCGCGGGCGGCAACGGGGCGCGGGCTGGGGGCCCCCGCCGGGGGCCGGCCTTTGGGGGCCCTCATCACTCGGGCTAAGGGGGAACTCAAGGCCAAGGGTCGGTGGGAAGTCGGGGGGAATCCGGAGGAATGTGGAGGGGGTCAAGTCGGGGGGACTGGGGGTGGGGGGTGGGGGGCCGGGGGGCTCGGGGCGCGGGCTCAGGGGTCCCTGGGCAAGTGGAGGGAACTTGATCGACTCGCCGAACACTCGAAATGCTAAACTCACCGGGTCTCGTTGGTTAAAAACCCTCTTGCCCCTCTACTCAGGGCCAACCGGGGGTCGCGACCCAAAACTGGGGGGAAATTGGGGGTCGCGGGGGGAAGGTGGGGGGTCGGGGGTCGCGGGGTTTCTCGGCTGGCCACACGCGGGGAACTGGCGGGCAAATCCGCAAGGGAAATCAGAACGGTAAAATGGTGTGAAAAAGTCGGGGGGAAACTTGACCCGACTGCCTGATCCTGGGGAAATCCCCCTCCAAACGGGCACCTTGGTCTTTGGCCCTCCTTTTTGCCCTTTTTACGGAGTGCACTTATTCCCCCTCAGCTCAAGCGGTTCCCAACTTTGGGGGTCTAACAGCCAAAGGGGTCGTGAAAAATCTTTTGGGGTCGCGTCGAGCATCCACTGCGGTCGCCGAGGGGTTTCGCGGGTGGTTTTCCCCTGCGGGCCTTACACCCCGATTACTGGCTGCTTAATTTTGCCGCAAAGTTGATCAAAACGGTCACAAATGTGTGAAAAATCGTGTTTTGGGTCGACTTCAAGCATCCACTGCTTCTGATCCGAGGCGGTAAATCGTCCCCCCGTCAACGGGCAATTGGTCTTTGGACCTTCCTTTTG